GGGGAGGGGGGATAGTAGAGAATAGGACAGACAGCAGAATACATCAGACACGAGAAAGGCAATATGTCAATCAATGGAAGGGTAACTGATGTGATTCAGCAATCTGTATACGGGGTAAAAGTGGGAGTTCATAACCCACTTGAATCAAACCGTGTAATATGATGTATTAAGAACTATGTAATAGTTTGAAAGACCAATAATAAATTAAAAAAAGAGTAAATTTGCTTAATAAAAAAGGGGAAGCTGAGAGAAAAAACAAGTTGGAAGGGAAAAAAATTAACCTGAATCTACAGCCATATCCTGTACAGGTTTGTGTTGACAGGACCAGTATTATTTTTTTAGTCTCAGCTTTATCTGGTTTCCATGTGGAGAAAATATGTGTATGTGTATATATTTATTGTGTTTATATAAAATTTTATATGATATTATTACATTTTCATCTGATATTTTATAAGGCTTACCTATGTAAATGTGGAAAATAGACTGTAAACCTTATTCTATTTGACTCTTGGAAGGGGAATGGTAATGTCAATCTGATTTGTGGTTTGGGATATACTAGATGTTTTTAACTCATTTGTATCAAGAGAAGAGGTTAGAGACATTTACTAGAAAAACACACGTAACAGGGAATAACAGCTGTCTTCACTGTCACCCTAGGTTAGGGATCTTCAGGTGACAAGCTTTTGCTCAGTACACACAAGCTGCCTTTCGCCAGGCACTGAGGCCCTGGGTGTGACTCAGTACCCCACAGTAGGAGCTTGTCCCCTTCCCCTTCACACAGGCTGGCTGTGAGGCCCAGGGCCGGGCCACAGGCCTCGGGACGTACCTTTTTGGTAGAGCTGATGATTGTGCTCAGCACAGAGACTAATTTTACAATCTCCTTATTGTCGGACACATTCTTATAATAGTTCTTGGGTTGCACTGGAATGGGTAAGGTCACAGATGCCACCTCAATCGTCTCTGAAAGCAGAAAAGAGACAAAAGTTTAAATCAACAGCATAGGCAATGTGCTATTAACAGATGGGAGATCTCTGTCATGGTAAAGCAAAGATACCATAAAGTATCTCCTTCCTAAAAGCAATAAAAATCGTGAAGATTTTTGACATTCTCAAAGTTTCAGGACTCTGGAAATTAACTCCATCTTACAGCAATCCAAAGAGTGTTAATTCAAGAAAAAATATGGGATCCAGGTGACAGGACCAAGTGTCATGTGTTTAACTTGCTCTCTTCCCGCTGACTCCTCTCTGGCTGTGGAAGCTTTGAAAAACAGCAGACTTACATCCCAAGCAGCTGTGAGAACCCTCAACCTAGCAGTGCCCGGAGGGTCAGGGCTGAGTTTGGAGCTCCTCAGAGGGTGGGGTCTCTAATCAGTAATCAGTAATCAACACACCTAGAAGCTCCCTGGAAAAGCTGTGCTCAAGGAATTTATCTTTACATGACATGATGCAGAATTTTACTGAGTGGGGGAAAAAATGTCTGACCCCCAAGTCATTTGCCAAAATATATATTTTTTTTTATTAGCAACAACAATTATTTAACTTCACAGCAACTTGAGACAATGATATTAGTTGGGGCAAACAAGATGGTAGCCAAAAAAGTTAAAAGGTCTGGGGAAAGCGATGTCCACAGAGGGCGCTGTAAGCCCTGAAGTAGAGCCGCCCTGGGGCTCTAGGAATCCACATTCACACATTCAGGAGCAGAGGCATCAGCATGCCCAGGGAAGACCCCAGAAGGCCTCAGCCTTTCACTTCTGTCTGAATCTGAGGCCTTGCAGCATCAGTGAGTAAAGACTTGTGTAGTGGTTTAAACTGACTGGGCCTTGCTGGGTTCCAGAGCAGGTGCAGAGTCTCTAAGCAAAGGGCAAAGATTCTTGCTTCAAAATGGTCAAGGAAATCTCTGTACAGTCATTAATTGGCCACTAACTGCCCAGAGAGTATAGTAGCTTATAACCCAAAAATAGTTTTTACGCAATTAATCCATGACATTCGATAAAGAAAAAGAGAAATCATGATAGTAGCAAAACCTATCAATGAATTTTCAGAATTGCCATTCTTTAAAATGTCTAATTTTCAACCAAGAAAAAAAAAGTGTGAGACACACAAAGACATGGGAAAGTAGAGCCCACACAGGGAAATAAAAGCAGCCAACAGAAGCTACCCATGAGGAAACTCAGACGTTGGACTTATTAGGCAAAGAGTTTAAATAGCTTTTGTAAATGTGTTCCAAGAAGTACAGAAATCATATTTAAAGAAATAAAGGAACTTATGAGAGTGATATCTCTGAAAATGGGAAATATCAATAATGAGACAGAAACAGAAAAGAACCAAATACAAGTTGTAAAATCAAAAAGAAGAACAAATCAAATGAAAATTCAATAGAACTTAGTAAAAGATTTGGGGGCTGGGTGTGGCTCAGTGGAAGAGTGCTTGACCAGCAGGTACAAGGCCCTGGGTTTGTACTGAAGGAAGGAAAAAAAAAAAAGATCTGAGTTGCAGAAAGAAAAATCGATTAGTTCCTTAATTCATTGGTCCTGACAAAAAAAATATGTACAATTTTYGATCAATGTTTTTCTTCTCAACTTAGATATGATTCATGATTGAATGTATTTTTAGTCTAGAAAATTCTGAATTTTAAGCTACCCAGGAAATTAAAGCAATGTTTCCAAATAATATACGATTGGAAATCAGTATAATAATAGTAGAGGTTTTGAGCTTAGATTAATAAAAAATCATTTTGTAAGTCATAGGGAAAGTTGATCTGTGCTGTATTTATCCTCCAGCAACACTTTTGTTTTCTGGTTTGTTTTTGTTTGATTTGGTCTGGTTATTTTTGTGATGCTGGGGATGGAACCCAGGGCCTCTCACGTCACTCCCAGCCCACTCACACCTCAGTTTCTTCCTTGGCTAGTTGATTTATCGCTTCAGAGGAGGTAGACACCAACAGGACTACACAGGGGCTGGGGTTTGTGGGGCTGACGTAAGGGAGTGTGAGGACCAAGGACAACATTTAATACCACATGCAACTTGGGTGTCTTAGGCTGTCGGATTTTACATAACACAAATAAAAGCCACCAGACACACAGTGACACTCACAAGATGTTAACAAAACGGAAACAGAGTGGGTGAAAAACATCTCTTAGTGCCAGGAAATGTTCATTGTGCTGATGGTGAGTGGCTCTTTAAACTGAAAAATTAAAACCTTTCTTGCCTCCAGTTCTTATTATTAGACTGGACCAAAAATCAGCAAAAACAGCTGCAGTCAACCCCCTAGAAGCAGACCACAGTGTTGATGCAGAAATATTAAAATATGCAGATCTTGACATTTTATAGACTTAAAATTGGTTCATAGATTGATACGCTGCTCTTGCTTGATTTGAGAATCCTATAGGGGTTGGGGGAGGGTACATTGAAGCTCAATAAATGTTGATTTACAATACTTTAAAAGAACTCAAAGAGCATTTACCTTGAAGTTCATTGTCTTCCATTTCGACCTCAGAATCACTCTCTTCATTATTCTGCAGGGCAGCCATTTTTCTTTCATGTACCTTTTTCTGCAATATAAAGGGATATTTTTCAGCTTTGTCTTATCTGGAAATAAACAGCTTCCACATGAAACAGCTTTCCCATCCCAGGCCCACCTTGGACGAGGGCTCCCTGCTCCATTGTCTGACCCCCTTGGGCACACTGACAATGCACTCCACAGCTCTGTTCAGGGTCTGCTGTACGTCTTCCAAGGCAGGCGCCATGGCAATGTTGGGAATGGCCAGAGTGATGTTTGCCCGGAAAATAGGCAGATTGTTCTGCTTCGCTTTAGATGCACTATTGCTGTCTGAGTTTACAAAAAAAAAAAAAAAAAAACAGTAGAGGATTGATATTTTTAATTCAAAAACAGGACTTACTTCATTTCTAACCACAACTAAAGCACCTAGAACAACACATAGTAGATATATTATTAGGCAAATATTAGTTGAGTGAATGAATTTTTTAAAAAAAAGCTTTTGGTTTGCTTAAAAGAGAGCAGTTCAGTAGAACTCAAGTCATTTTCTGTTGATTATAATTTGTTGGTCTACTATCCATAAAGAAAACCTACTATGTTCAAGCTTAAGGATAAATTTTTATCTAAACTATTAAAGATGATATTGCCCAAATAACTGAATGCTGATAAATTAGTTAAATGAAGAATAAATACACAAAGAATGAAAAATGAGAATAACTACCAAAACTAGCCAAAATTAAAACAAACCACAGTTTGTAATTTCAAATAAAACATGCCTTCTCTACCACAGTGTATATTCTACCCTCAGAACAGCTAAAAAAATGAAAAGGAAATAAAATGTAACTCACCACCCATATCAACGGGCTCTTAAAGTTAGGTATAGATAARTTATAGACATAGATACATAGAGATGGATATATATGTATGTAGCACACATAACTTTAGGTAGAAATACCTTTAATGTATGAAGTTGACAAATAATTGTGATTTAATATTTAGCACCCAACCCACATTTGAAAATTTCTAATATAACCCTGTGTCTGAAGTGAAATAAAACATTATAAACCATGCCACCAACAAAACATTCTTTCAAAACCCCAAACTTCACGTATCCACTTTTAATTAAATGTCAAATGCCGTCTCTTAAATGCCAGCACAGGGAAGCCCCTGGAAAGTACAGGCAGGTCAAGAAGATAAGTGTGACTTCAGCAAACTCTTTCCACCTTACAAGATGGGCCAATAACCTAACAATTTAACAATGAAAGAATCTTTTCCATATGCCTTCCTTTCAAAGTATGTGCCTTTCCTTTCTCAATTAAAATAATTCATTTTATATATTTTCATTTTTTTCAAAAAGATTGAAAGTAATGTTGATTTTCATGCCATTAACAAAGGTAAGTAACCTTAAGGAAATTCATTTGATCTCTCCCTGCTCCAGTTTTCTCTACTTCAACATGAGTGGTGAGGGTATCCGCTTCTAGAACTGTTGGGATGACCCACGATTATAATGTTGAAATTTACAAGGAGGCACTCAATAAATGGTGGAGTTTCTTAATTCTTTAGATTTATCAGGAATGTAGTGTGCGCGCACACACACACACACACACACACACACACACACACACACACATACACATAGCTACACCTGATCAGCCACCCTGCAAACCGTGTGGGATCCTTACCCCGGAAATTCATCACGTGGGAGGAATGGATGCGCTTGCGAATGGCCTCTAGAGTGTTCCTGGTCACTTTCAGAAGAGCATCTGCGTTTTGGTGGTTGAAATGAGACAGCAACTCGCAGGCCACCTCCACCATCTCAGGCTGCTTCTTCTTTTTGGGGATTGCTGTCAAAGACAGTGGGCCAGCCCCAGCGTTAAGGGACCATGTCAAGGCATCAGAAGTTCCTTCCTCTCTTTTTGTTGTTATGATATGACACAAATAGAGGTGGGTGAGAGAGAGAAGCCACAACCAAATGGAGAAATTAAGACAGATGACATGCAAGTTTGATGTCACTTAAGTGTTATGCTTCTTAGAAAGTGAGGCCATTACAGTCTTCCTCCGCCTGAGAAGACAGCCAATGAGAGATGCAGGAGCGCTGGGTGCTGCAGCCACTGAGCCCACAGGCTGGTTCTCTCTCCCACCAACGCTCTAAACCCCTTTAGAACCACTTTCCTTCTCCACTTGTAGCATTCTTGACTGTGCAGCAAAAGCTTTGCTCTAGTCTGCAATGACTTCAAGGAGAATTCCAATCCATGACCCATAATCCACCCTCCTCTACAGGTAAACTGAAGTAAAACGGCTCCCCTGGCTTAAATCAAAAGAGCTAAGTGCCAAAGAGGACCCAGGAAAAGTGCATGTTTGCAGAACTCAACAAACACACACACACAAAAAAATGGGAATTAGCAACATGGAGTCATTACAACTTGCTCAGAACCACAATTTCAGACATAAATATCACTCTAAAATTGAGACAGCATTTGCAGAACTGTGGAATTAAGTCACTCTGTAGGAAATTAAATTGTAGTTTTCAACAAATGTCCTAGAAAAACAACACCCTTTTTTTTACCGCCCCTCTTACCTGAAGTTTCACTTTTTGAATCAATATGATTCTCATTGAACACGTTTTCCTCCTTGGGTGGAACTTGCTGGTCCAACAACATGTTGATGAGCTCATTGACTGCTTCCTCCACTAATGAGCTTTTAAAATGGAGTATCTGAGCACCATTTACACAAAGGTCCTACCAAATAAAAATGATTATCATATGTCATCGTTGTTTATCTGGCTCTTGAGAGTTCCTGAAGAACAGCAGCGAGCCTACAGGTTCAGCTCCAGGGGAGAGCTTAGGCTGCAGTAATGCTGGCCCTCATCCTCCCAGTACCACCCCCCACCCCCGCCAGGCCTCCTCCGAATGCACTGCAGACAAGGGAAACCCTGGAGCAATGTTGACGAGCCAAAATTACATTTGCTTTTCCAGCATGGAGGACAGCAATCCCAGATCCACCAGTAGCCTCGTTCTGTGACATTCCCGTCATATTGCATAATCTGCTCCAGCCAGCCTTTCTTTTCTCCTCATCTTTGCCAAAAAGCCACAGCTATCTCCTACTTGATTTCAGGTCTATTTCCCTCCTGTCCAACTCAATCATGCATTTCTCGGGAATAAAATTTTATAAATATGAATTAAAACATGATTGGGAGCGCTGTGATGGATTCTGTAGCACTATATACGAAATCAGCTATTTACCACTGGTTGGAAAATAAGCCTAGGAAGCAAGAGATTTTTGTCAACTGGCCACAGTCTCCAGCTTCATTTCAAGTTTCTCTTTTATGCACCTTGAAATTCTACTATTCTCCTGGACCTTCCACATCAAACATCAGCCTCCTGGCTCTGTCACCTGCTCATTCATGACCTTCACCTCCACTCCACTGTTGTGACACACGGCACTTGGATGCCATCAACACAGGAACATTCTAATGTACACTGAAACATACAACCAAGCTTCTTTATCATCAACGCATGAAATAACTTCACTCTCAAGTCAGAACTATACCCAACTACCAATCTCAACCCTAAGCTTAGAGACAACTAAAAAAGAGAGAAGCAGTTATTAAGAAAAAAAAAGGTAGAGGCAGGTCTGAGAGTAGATAAGGGATGGAATGAAGTTAGTATCATCTAGTAACAAGTATAGACCCTGGTACTAAATTTCCTGGGTTCCAATCCTAGCTCTGGGTGATATGGAAGATCCTTCTCTGGCCTCAGTTTTCCTGTCTGTAAACTGGTGATAATGGAAGAATCCACCTTTGATGCTTGCAAGCATTCGCTAAGATCACATGTTAAGTGCCCAGCGCAGGGCTGGCCACAAAGTACTGGAGGACTTGGTTATTAGTAATGGTCAGCAAATGACACACATCCACAGGAACTAAGTGTCTGTCCAGCTGGTCATTCTGTGTAAATTAGCTCCTCATTCCCTGAGAGAGTGGTAATGATTTTCAAAGTCTGCATCTTCAGTCCTCTGACTGCCTTGAGGAGAGAAGCACACGTGGGCCATGATGTGATCTCTGCTCTCAAAGCCAGCTCTCCAGGAAATCCTCAGTGACCTTCCCCCAGTCCTTCCAACCCCTCCGTAATAAAACACACATTGGAAACCACAAAACGCCTTGATATTGAGGGTTCTGGAAGACAGAATCAACAAACGCTCAAAGACTAATGTAGTTCTAACAGCCTTGTGTAAATCTCTTAATTCTCTCTCTGAGAGGACGTGATTATAAAAATTATATAAACAGCATGAAATTAATAAAGCAGAGTATAAACAGAATGAGGATAAAGTACAAAAGGTTCATTAAAATGCCCCTGTATCCAGCAAAATAAGCCAAACCCATGGCTTCCACTCACCCCACTTGACAACCCACCTCCGTGGTGACATTCGCACATTGAAACCGAACCTGTTACCAGACCTGACCCGCCTCCCCTTGTGGACCCACGTGGAGCTCCAGGATTTCCTCATCCCCACGATACTTCGGCTTTGGCAAATCTTTTGCTGATATCCTTTAGCCCATCACTCCCTCGGCCCTTGGCCACCCTCCCAGGTGAGGCCCAGCCTCTACAGGCCACCCACCCTCTCTTCTTGCCCACACACATCATGGCCACGCAGAGGCTCGCTGCTGGGAGCTCACAGCCCCCGGACTCAACCATCCCCTAACGCGACCCAGGAATCGCTCCACGTGGCTCCACAACACCTGTGTCCTCCTGTCTTTAACCACCCTTGCCCCTCACATTCCTCCAGAAGCCCACGCCCAAGCCCTCCCAGGAAGACAAGCCAGCCTCCCCCACTTCCTCCAGTTGGAGTGAACGCAGTGGTTTTCTCCTCCTATTCAAGATAATCTGAGGCCGGGGTGGTGGCTCAGTGGTAGAGCTTGCCTAGCATATGTGAGGCACGGGGTCCAATTCTCAGCACTGCATATAAATAAATAAATAAATAAATAAATAAATAAATAAATAAATAAATAAAGGTCCGTTGACAAGAAAAAAATATTTAAAAAAAAAATAAGGAAAGAGTAATCTCATACACTAAGTTCTGAGCCAGAGCCTCCCCAGCTTCTCCAGGGACAAGACTACCAACCATCTTTCTCCCTCTCTGCTTGATTTTCTGCCCCAGCATATCAACACATTCCATGTACTTCATCTCAACACCTCCCTCCAGCTGCCCAAACCACATGTTTCTACCTCAGGGCCTTTGCCCTTGCTGTCCCCTCTGCCTGGAAAGCTCTTCCCCAAAGCTATTCACATGGCTCCCTTCCTCGCTTCCTTGGTTCAAATGTAATCACCAAAGTCACCCCAAACCATCAGTGTAAAGTCACAACTCTGGGTTAGGCACTGCTTTTCTCCATTACCCTCTTAATTGTTATCCATTGAATTTATCACGAGCTGACATGTTTACTCATAGGCTTTTTGTTTGTTTTTCTGTATTGTCCACTTGAAAAGTGGGCTCCTGCCTGACTGGGATTTCACATTTTATTTACTGCTGTGTCCCAGCATTGGTTGGCCTAGGTGCTCCAAAAATAAAGCCACAAATAAATAGATTGTGAAAAGTCTAAAAAAAAGTCCAACAAAAAGCATTCATTTATATTGGTGATTGGAAATGCAAATCAATTTATGTTACATGATTTTTTGCTACTTAAACTAAAATCAGGAAGACACACTAAAACCGTGTTCCCTGGGGGTGGTGAGGCTGGTACTGCTGGATGCCCGCAGCATTCTAAGTTGGTAACGTCCTTTTTGAAAGACAATTGGCTGTGAATATCAAGAGCTATCAAGTAAAGCCGTGCTCTTTGACATGGTAATCTTACTTTGAGAGAGGAAATAATTCTGAAAAGGTAAAACATGATATATAAACATATTTATTGCAGCTCTTGGAAAAATAGAAAGAATTTGGAAGCCATTTAACGTCCAGCAATAAGAAACTGGCAAATAAATTGTAGCACATCCACCTAGTAAAATATCCCAAAGCCATTTTTAAAATGGTGCCTATGAAAGCCAGATAGCAACACAAAGTGTAGTTTGGGAGAAATGTTAACTGGGGAAGAACAAAGCAGGATGCAAACTCTGCTGTGCGTCTGGTAGGGAGCACAGCTTTGAGAGGCATAAAACACACGGCAATTACAACAATGGTAGCATCACGATTCGGATCCCAAGCTTCCCATTTTTAAAATATTCTAAAACTTGCTTTGAAAATTTTTAAAACTTTTTATTTTTATAAACAGTGCAGCTAAGTGTTTTTTTCAGATGGGAAGAGAACAAAAAAGAGTCGGAAGGTTGGGCAGGGATCAAATTTACCCACAGTTAGTCTATTCAACAGATGGTGCTGGGAAAACTGGAAATCCACATGTAGCCAAATGAAATTAAACCTCAGTGTCTCACCCTGCACACAAATCAACTCAAAGTGGATCAAAGACTCAGGCACTAGAACAGAGACCCTGCACCTAATAGAAGAAAACATAGGCCCAAATCTTCACCACATCAGCCTAGGATCTGACTTCCTTAACAAAAATCCTAAAGCACAAGAAATAAAACCAAGAATCAATAAACGGGATGCACTCAAACTAAAAAGCTTCTTCTCAGCAAAGGAAACAATAGTGTGAAGAGAGAGCCTACAGAATGGAAGAAAATCTTTACCACAGGCACCTCAGATACAGCACGAATCTTCAGGATATATAAAGAACTCAAGAAACTTAACACCAAAAAAAATAATTATAAAATAACCCAATCAGTAAATGGTCAAAGGAACTGAATAGACACTTCACATTAGAAGAAATACAATTGATCAACAAACATGAAAAAATGTTCATCATCTCTAGCAATTAGAGAAACGCAAGTCAAAACTACTCTAAGATTTCATCCCACTCCAGTCAGAATGGCAATCATCAAGAATTCAAGAAATAATAAGTGTTGGCGAGGATGTGGGGAAAATGGCACACTCATACATTCCTGGTGGGACTGCAAATTGATGCAATTACTCTGGAAAGCAGTATGGAGGTTCCTCAGAAAACTTGGAATGGAACCACCATTTGACCAGGCTATCCTGCTCCTTGGTTTATACCCAAAGGACTTAAAATCAGCAAAACACAGTGATGCAGCCACATCAATGCTTATAGCAGCTCAATTCACAATAGCTGAACTATGGAACCAACCTAGATGCCCTTCAACAGATCAATGGATAAAGAAAATGTGGTACATATGCATAATGGAATATCACTTAGCCTTAAAGAATAGTGTAATTATACTATTTACAGGTAAATGGATGGAGCTGGAGAATAGTATGCTAAGTGAAATAAGCCAAACCCCCCAAAAAACAAAGGCTGAATGTATCTTCTGATAAGTGAATGCTGATCCATAATGGGAGTGGGGGAGAATGAAGGGACTTTGGATAGTGCAGAGGGGAGTGAGGGAGGGAAGGGCTGTGGGCATGGGAAGGACAGCAGAATGAAATGGACATTACTACCCTATGTACATATATGATTACACAACCCATGCGACTCGGCACCATGTTCAGCCAGAGGAAGGAGAAGCTGTGCTCCGTGTGTGTACAACRTGTCAAAATGCATTCTACCGTCATGTATAACTAATTAGAACAAAGTTAAAAAACCAAAAAGATTTTAAAAATTTTACCCACAGTGAGGAGCATGACAATGAGGAACCACAGACATTACATTTCAGTTATGTAAGAATGATTTCATTTAAACCAAAGATTTCTRTGCCTGCAGAAAGGGGTTTACACAGGACTGAGATTGGTGGCCTTGGAAAGGCTGATTGCAAGGTTGGCCCCTAGCYGGCATCTGGGAGCTCAGATTTCTGGAGGGTTCCCTCTGTTGTCTAGCTGATAAGGATGGATCAACCTGCCTCTCCCAGGTTTCCTAGAAGTGGCTCCASAATTGTGTGCCACGGAACACCAGTTTGGGAATACTGCTCCACTGACACATACAGGGAGAGACCCTGCCCAGACGCCGCTCACGGCAACTGTTTTATTGGTGACCCCTAGATTAGGAGAAGCTCTTCTACAACAAGGCTCTACTCTTCATAAGCCATGGAAAAATTAGAAATGGGTTCCATGGTACTTTCCCTCAGTGATGTGAAAAGAGGTGACTTTTCCCCTTGTGCCCAAGTGGCTGCTTAGGTACATTTCTCCTCATTCCCAAACTACTGTCAGAAGGTTCTGTGTTTGAATCATATCTGCCATGAAGCAATCGCAAGWAGAAAGAAAAAAATCCAATGTCTGCTTCAAAAGCTGCCCTTTATAGAAAAGCAAATTGCAGGAAAACTTTTTTAGTAACTTTTTTATCCATTTTCTAATGACCTTTGTCATTTGGAGGAACTCTTCACAGGTGAGCGGCTCCTCCTGGGGGAGTTGACAAAGCAGGGTGCCGCTCATTTCCTCTAGAAGGGCGTCGATGCGGAACTCAATCAAATCGTTGACTCGGTCAAGCAGCAGCTCCAGGTCCTCTTTGGAAAAACAAAAGCAAATGAAGGGGATGAAGGAAAGCATTTTGTTACACACACACACACACACACACACACACACACACACACACACGATTAGATGCCAGTAGCAATGGCAGGAGCAACACTTTTCAGTTTCCATAGGTCCCTGGGACACTCCAGAGTTCCACGCTTGGCCTTCTCCCCGGTCCCTCCTGAGCAGTTTTTCAGCTCTCCCAGCCTGCCTAGCCCCGGCTCCTGTCCACAGCAGGCTTCCTGTGGACCTGCATGGATGGGGGCCCGCCTCCTCCTGTGCCAACACTGCAGCCTGAGCACCCTTTCATCTGAGGGCGTCGCATTGTCCGCTCATAGGCTGACTCCCTCTGAAACCCATGTCTTCATCCTACAGCTTTAACAGGTATCCCGGAGCCTGTTCCAGGAGAGGTTTTCAAAACAGTGTTCTTAAAGTGAAATTCCTCTATTTTTCTCACGTTACTATCATAAGGGATACTTTTTTTAGTTTTGCTGAGGTGGTATTGAACACCAAGTTCCAAGGATTAAAGGGCAACTCTGAGGAAAGCTAACAATTCCACATCAAAAGAAGGAAGGATGGCTAATGGGCATCCCCCTGAGGGGTCATACATTTTTCAACAGACACCGTATAATCAAATCTCTCTTGTTCCAACGCTACTTTCTCCTAGGAAATGAAGTTGAAATTGAATGAAGAAAACACAGTGTTACATACAGCTCTTCAAGACACCAAGCAGTTCTTTCTGGTAGTCTTCTTGAGTACGAAAGGAGAGCTGACATTTGTATTTCGGCAGCTATACTCAATGAAATTCTTTACTATTTCTACCTGACAGTTTCTTTGAAGCATCTTCAAGGACATTTATGGCAAGKTTTAAAAAGTTCCCATGAGGATTTTCACATCCTAATTCCCTGGCAATGTTATCTTATATGATAAAAGGGCYTTTGCAGATGTRTTAAGGATATTGAGACRTGGAGATTGTTCTGAATCATCCAGATAGTGCCAAAGTAGTCATAGAGTCTAGGACCCTAGCCATAGGGTCCTTGTAAGAAGAAGGCAGGAAGGGCACAGTCAGACAAAGAATATGACCATGGAAGCAGGGGGGCAGAGAAAGAGAGAGAGATTTGAAGATGCTATGCTCTTAGCTTTGAAGATGGAGTGACCATGGGACAGCATGTGTAGGTAGCCTCTGCCTGCTAGAAGAGGCTAAGGAAAAGAGTCTCCCCTGGTGGCACTTGATTTTAGCCCCAAGGACTCACTTTGGATTTCTGACCTCCATAATTAAATGATTTTATGCCACTAARTTTGTGACAACTTGTCACGACATCAATACAAAAAAAAAAAACTAACAACATTTATGCATAGAATATACAAAATTAAGTCTGTAGAAGTTCTGATTTTTATTTTGAAAATGGCCAAAACTCTTTTAGAAGAAATACATGATAGAGGCAACTATCTGCAAACAGAAGGGCGGGCTCACTTAACCCAATAAGGAGTCCAGCTGTTCTTGAGATGTAACATGGTTTGTCTAACATAGTTTGTCTCCTAAAGAAATTTAATCCTGTTCTGCTTTAGTCTCTCTATTTAAATTACAAAAAGAAAAACATAATGAAATATGAGAACTAAGAAGACTTTCTTTAGAAAATATCTCTTTGTCTCCAGCTAACATTCTAATAAAACATCCAAATTGCTAGCCATCTAATCCTCACACTCTCAGAGAGGACATGCAGGCCTACCTCGGAAGCCTRTTCTAATTTGATTGTGATAAATTCTAACTAGGAAACATTTATACATTTTATAAATGAGTCCTTAGAGACTTTTAGTCAATTTCATATAGTTTTATCTCCTATAAGAAATATTTTGGAAAGAGTACTAGCTTAGAGGCAAGGAAACTGGGTTCTAAACTCATCCTGACTGCTTATATCTGTGTRCCATTAGAAATCATTTAGCAACTCTGAACCACAGTTTTCCAACCCTTGAATTGAGGGTCTTATTTAAAATTGTTTCTACTGTTTTTTTCCACCTCTACAATGCAATGCTTGCCTGATAATACATTTTATATTATCCTACCTTTAAGCTACAATGAGTATGAAATACACTTCATTCATATTAAAGGTCCCCTTTACAATATGTCTTTGAGGCTGCCAGAGAAAAACCACAAGTCACATTTAGAGGGAAACCAATTTGGACTTCAGCTGATTTTTCAACCCACACCCTTAAAGCTAGGAGGCTTTGGAATAATACATACTGTGTTCTGAAAGAAAATAGATGCCAGCCAATAATACTATAATACCCTGCAAAATTAAGCTTCAGATTTGACAATGAAATAAAAACCTTCCATAATAACAAAGTTAAAAGAATTTACAACTACAAAGACCACATGGGGACACATTCTCAATGAAATATTTCATGAAGAAAAAATAAAAAATAAAACTGGAAATTAGCAAAAAGAGAAGCTACACTAGAATAATAGTCAATCAAAAGAGAAACTAACTCAAAAAACAGAAATAATTCAAAATGACAGGGAATAAGAATCATTTCTCAATAATAACATTGATGTAAATGGCCTAAACTAATCAATCAAAAGACAGACTAGCATATTGGATTTAAAAACAAGACCAAACATTATGCTGTCTCCAAGAGACTCACTTTATAGGCAAAGACATTCTTAGACCAAAGAAAGAATAGGAAAAAAAACTTGCCATTCACATGGGTTTCTATTCTCATACCTGAAAAAGTAGACCTCAACTTAAAATTAATTAAAAGGGACAAAGAAGGCCATTTAATACTGCTTCAACAAAACATAATAATCTTAAAAATTTATGCCCCCCAAAATGGAGCATCTACATACATCAAACAAACTCAAATCTCTAGAGTCGAATATATTACAACACAATAATACTGGGTGACTTCAACACTCCTCTCTCATCAATTGATAGATCTTCAAAACAAAAATTAAGTAAAGAAGCTATATGACTAAAAATACAATTAACAATTTAGATTTAACAGACATACACAGAATATTTCATCCATCAATGACTTACGATACTTTCTTCTCAGCAGCACATGGATCATTTTCTAAAATAGGCCATATTTTAGGCCACAAGGCAACTCTTAGCAAATAGAAAAAAAAAATACAAAGCAATGAAATTAAGGAATTTGCTGGATGGAACTGGAGAATATCTTGCTAAGTGAAATAAGCCAGTCCCCAAACTCAAAGTCTAAATGTTCTCTGATATGTGGATGCTAACCCACAACAAGGGAGGGGAAGAGGGGAAGAATAGAAGCTCATTGGATTATATAAAAGGAAATAAAGTGAAGGGAGTAGGGAGGGGAAGAGGAAGGACAGTAGAATTAATCAGACATAACTTTCCTAGCCTTGTATTGAATACTCAACCAGGATAACTTCACATCATGTACGACCATAAGAATCGGATCCTAATTAGAATAAGTTATAATCCATGTATGTGTAATATGCCAAAATACATTCTACTGTCATGCATCTCTAAAAAGAACAAATAAAAATATTTTAACAAATTTGCCTTGAATCCAATTCCCAATCTGTGAAACAGAACAAAAGGTAGGGGTGATTCAGCAATAATTCTTCACTCTACTGCCCGTCCCCAACCAGGTACTCATCAACTATTCTTGAGTATACAACACCTGGCAAATTAGTAGACACTGTTGAGCCAAAGGCATTCAGAAGGTACAGTGAAAACCTACAGGTAAGACAAGCCCTTGACAACACAAGCTATAAATAAAGCAGGTTCTACCTCATCAGTCCCAAGCATCAGACCTAGAGAAAGACCTAAAGAAGAAAGAGAGAGAAAGATAAAAAGCACCACAAGAGGTATCTAGAAGGGCCACGAAGGAAGAGTTAACCCAAAAATGAGGAGACAGGATGGAAGAGCTAGAATAGGGTGAGGAAGGTAAGGAAACAGAGACAGACTGCCTAAGTCTCCTGCAATGAGGAATGTGTGAGTGCATGGGTGTCCACTCCACCCAACTGAGCGCACAACAGACGTTAAAGAGACCACTTGCTTTTTAAACCCTTTGCAGTCATTTTGGGGAGAAAGATGAAATTGGATTAAACCACTAAAGAGAGCTGAAATACAGAGCCCCCGTCTCTACTGTCAACGCAACAGACATCACTGGAGGAGGATGTGGTCACAAGGGTTGGAGGCTGGTGGGCTTCCTGGAGTGAGACTTACTCTGGGCTATAAAAAGTGGGCAGAATTGGGCCATGAAAAGGTAAGAGCAGATGACATTGGGTAGAACAGGAAGAGTTTGAGAAAAATCTGTCATTACCATGACCCAGACTACATTCCCTGCTCACCACAGAAGTACGAGGGAGGGGTTCAGATGTTCTCCTAGGAGTCAAAGAACTCTGGAAAACACCCACACAAAGGCTCTTCTTTTTTTTTTTTTTTTTGGTACCAGGGATTGAACTCAGGGGCATTCGACCACTGAGCYACATCCCCAGCCCTCTTTTCTATTTTATTTAAAGACAAGGTCTCACTGAGTTGCTTAGTACCTCACTTCTGCTGAGGCTGGCTTTGACCTAAGAATCCTCCTGTCTCAGCCTCCCAAGCCACCTGGACAAGAGCTCTTCTTGGAGACCCAGTGGCCATGCATATTAAAGGCTCTGCAAAGTCCTCCAGAGAAGAAATCCGTCCAGCTACTAAGGTGGGCTTCCCAGATGTATTTGAGCCCAGATTCCACCTTTGCAACAAACCTGTACACATTCTGGGAAACTGTAACTATGGAATATACCACCTCACCTACATTTTCAAAATTATCATATCCCCCACTAAGGAAAAATGATGTTTCCTTCAACTTTTCCTACTTACAGTTCCCTGTTGTCCAGCCCTCTATTCCATACAAACCTCCACATCTTTCATATCAGGGTCTAAAAACACACTAACCAACTAGCATCACAAGTTAAAAGACTCTAAAGATCCTTTAAATTCAAATGTCCAACAGTAAAAATAAATGAAAAATCGTGGTTATCTATGGGAGCAAATTTAATACTGAATATTTGCAGTTTTCAGTAGATTACTGAAAGTGTATACCTTGAAAAAATTTCTTATGGAACAGCTTTCGAGGAATTCTGATTGTTGAGAGCCACAGCAGAAGAGGCCCCAGCAAACTTCCAGCTGATTGGCTCACAGCGGCCCCAGCAAACTTCCAGCTGCCAGCTTATTGGCTCCTYTTCGGTGATGCTCATTGGGCTATTTCCCCACCCTTTCAGACCACGGAGCTGCTCATTGGGGGACTCTTTTGGCTCCGCCCACACAACCCAGCCAATGGGCCTCAAGAGCAGGAGGAGTTGGGGGTGGAGAGGCTCGTGGGAAGCCGGTGGTGGCAGTTGGGCTCTGAGGGAATTCCTGAAAAGCTCGTGTGGTGTGTGTTATAAAAATAAAGTTCGTTTCTGCTTGATAAGTGGCTCGTGAATTGTGCCCAGCCAGACTGCAGCATCTCATCTCATTTATATCACCACATTGATAAGAAATTTCACAACAGATATTAAGAAATAAGCCTTTAAATCTGAGAAATAGTAACCATTTAGACAAACTTACTGATCTTTGTAAAAGCGTTTTCTAAATATGYCTCAATATTCAGCGATGTCCAGGTCAGCGCAGCCAAGCCTGGCTGGAGAGCTCTGTCCACTTTAGCCAAATGGGGGGCCATCAGTTGCTCAATGGCGGGGGGCATTTTTGACCTCACTCTCTGGTATTCAGACAGCATCATCTGCAATTAAATGGGTTTAAATCATCAAGTAACATCTCACCGTTATCATTTTATATAAAATGCTTACTTTTATTTCGATCAAACTGGGGGCTCTCATAGCCTGGCAGGGAGAAAGGTAAAAACAAAATAAGAAGAGAAAACGTGGACTTTCTCTATAAATCACAAATCCTAATTCAATAAAGTACAACCAAGGATGAAGAATTTAAGAAGCAGAATTTTTCAGTCCCTACCTAGACTATAAGGAAAGAAAAGTTTTGAGGTCAAGTAATTTTTCTAAACTGGGGCATCCTGCTCCTCTGAGCCTCTTCTGTGGACCACACTCATCATCAAAAGTGTCTGGATCATGGGAGTCCATTGCTGGGACTACAGGCCAAATTTCATGCAAGACCTAAAGCACAGGAGGAGAATCAGGAACCAGTATTATTTCAACAAGTGTTATGGCTTGTTTTAATCAGCTTTTCACTGCTGTGACTAAAAGACCTGACCAGAACAATTATAGGGGAGGAAAMGTTTATTTGGGTCTCACAGCTTCAGAGGTCTCAATCATAGACAGAAGACTCCATTCCTTGGGGCTCATGGCAGAAGAGTGTGGCAGAGAGAAGCAGGCAACATGTTGATCAGAAAGCAGAGAGAGAAAGAGAGACCACTCTCCAGAAACAAACATATACACCATAGCCACGGCCCCAGTAAACCACTTCCCCCAGCCACACCCACTTGCCTCCAGTTACCACCCAGTTAATCCCATCAGGGGTTAATTCACTGATTTAGTCAATGTTATAACCCAATCATTTCTCCTCCAAACCTTCTTGCATTGTCTCACATGTAAGCTTTTTGGGGACACCACATCCAAACAATAACAGGGCTTTAATGTCATCTGAATGCCAAAGAGAAATGTACATCTCCAGTGCAGATCTCACTCCAAGGTTTAGACTCAYATACAGCAAGAGCCTACTCAGAGGGCTGCGGATATAGCTCAGCTGGTAGAGTGCTTGCCTTGCATGCACAAGGCCCTGGCTTGGATCCCCAGCACCACACAAAAGAAAAAGAAAGAAAAAGAGCCTAAACAGTCTCCCCCTTCATATCTAACAGACATATTCAAACCTAACAGGTCCAAACTGAAAGGTAGTCCTTGCCCACAAACCTTCTCTGCCCACCGCATTCTCCAAGTCACGTGACAGCAAACTCTATCCTTTCTGCCCACTGGCCAAAATTCAGGCAGCCTTAATTCCTCTCTTTGCCCACTGTCACTTACACCCATCCAGTTCTCCTGTCGCACCATACTCAAAGGAGATCTGATTGGTTTACTATATCTGCTGTCCCTGACACTCAGCTGAATTATTTGAATGTTCCACCATTCTCTCCCTGCTTCCACCCGTGACTCTGAGACTCTAGGCTCTACTTAGCTACAGGGGCGAACCCTTAAAACACTAAGTCAGATGATGTTACCCCTCTGCTGACATGATAAGATGTTCCCACCTAATTCAGGGCTCTACATCCTCATACAAAGACTTGGAGAGGTCCTTACTCTACGAAAACCTACTTAATCTTATTCCCCTTGCCTGTCTTATCTTCAGCCATTCTCCCCTCTCTCTGATCCCACCTACTGTCTCCCTTATTGATCCTTAGCCTCAGGATCTTTGCACCTTCTTCAAATAATTTCTCAGAGCACTTTTTAGTTAGGCCTATCCTGACAAGCTACTTAAGACTGCAAACCACCACCAAAAGCCACTCATACATTCTGTGTCCTGCTCTATTTTTCCCATAGCACCTATCACTTTATACTAATACACTAAATAATTTACCAATTTATAATGTTCACTGCAGATTTTCTACAACTTACAAAGGTGTGAAAATGAAAGATGTTCAATGGAAACCATACTTGGGACTTTTGAATTTTGATCTTTTCCTGGGCTAGTGATGTTCATTATGATTCATTCTTGACATTTGATTCATTCTGGACTTTGTTTAAAACAGGCTTTGTATTAGGTGGCTTTGCTTGACTGTGAGCTAATGTAAATGTGCTGAGCACATTTAAAGTAACTCAGCTACAATGTTCAATAGGTGTGTTCAATCATTCTCCACTTCAGATATTTTCAACTTACAATRGGTTTATTCAGACATAACCCCATGGTAAGTCCAAGAGTATCTGTATGTTATACCAGAACAAGAATCTTATCTGCTTTGTTTGTTAATGTGTCAAAAATGGTAGATGGAACATAGGAGATGATTGATCGTTATTTCTCATTATTTAGAAAGTGCATTTGTGATCTGACACTTATRGATTTAAGTTCTTTATTGAAAAATTAACTGTTGTATTAGGTTGAACTAAATCAACTTAGTTGACATATATATTTTTTCCATGTTACCATTTTTAAATAATTAAATATTTATAGTATTTCCAGCATAGCTTTCAGGATAATGTCAATATTAATAACCATTAAAATAAGAAAGTGATTTTAATGTGCTTCTTAAATAAAGTTATTTTTAAACCCACATTTGCAATGTAAAGATTAGCATTACCTTGATATTAGATTAATGTTTCCTAAAATGTTTTCCTTAAAGTTCTAAGTTCAAGACATTCTATAATAAAAATGATCCCTGCATGGATAAGTTTGAAAAACACCATATGCAATATTTCCTCTTGAATAGCCATGATTAATATTAAATGTCCAGAGAAACCTGCCATTGGGTTATAAGAAGTACTGGGGGGCTTTGAGAATTTTGTTAAACCCAGCACTTCCCAAATGGGCTATATAAACCTTTCTTCATATAATACCTTGCCACAATTTCTATAATTCCCTTTCAATTTCCATGAAAGCCATTTTAGAAATCCTAGATTTGATCATTCAATTATCGGTTACTCATATATTTCCTAAAGCTTTTATTCACTTTTATCCACCTTTGTTTCAGTGTCCGTCACTCATTCTATCTGGGAAACAGTCCTTAGAATCTGCCTCAGGCAGGTCTTCCATTTCTCATCTTTAATCCTTTAACCCCAGGAGGAATTACTCATCCATTTTCCAACCAAGAAACTGAGGTTTAGAAGGTAAAGTAATTTACCCAAAGATAATGGTTTGGATCCAGATCAAACTGGCTTCCAAATCTGAACCATCAGCCACTACTAGCTCRTCTCCTTCTAACTTCAACTGTCTTCCAAGGAGTTGAGGAAGAAGACAAACTCAGTACTTTGGCATATCAGCAGAAGCCCAAAAACTCTGTTGAGCATTCAGCACCAAAACTCTGCAACTGTGGGGGGGTGTTTAGAGGGTGCCCAAAATATGCCAATAAATCTGCTCATGTTGAGCAGGAACCTTTAATTCTTTCAACCTCCATAATAAATGTGTAGCAGATCATAATTTATTTGTTCAAATTTCATTTACAACTGTGTTGGCTTTAAAACATTCTTGGTGAAGAAGAAGGAGGAGGAGAAGGAGAAGGAGGAGAAGGAGGAGGAGGAGGAGAGAAGGAGGAGGAGGAAGAGGAGGAGGAGGAAGAGGAGGAGGAGGAAGATGAGGAGGAGGAAGATGAGGAAGAGGAGGAGGAGGAGGAGGAAGAGGAGGAGGAGGAAGATGAGGAAGAGGAGGAGGAGGAGGAGGAGGAGGAGGAGGAAGTAGTAGTAGTAGTAGTAGTGGTGGTGGTGGTGGTGTCTATGCCTCTACCCTCCCGGGAATCTGGGTGGACTTATGGAGCCCAACAGGACACAACAGAAGTGATGCTGTGAGAATCAGGACATCCTGAAGACCACCTGCCTCCTCCTCATTCACTGCAGCACTTGCCCTCAGTTGCTGTATAAGATACCCTACTGGCCACATCCTCCCTGCTGGAAGTCCATGGAGTCATGCACATAATCATCCCAACCCTGCTCAATCTCTTTAGCCAAAAACCCTTGAGATAAAATGAAGGGATGTTGAAATGTACCCTATTTGGGGATTATCTCTTACCAAAACAACTCCTCCATAGACAAAATCATCATCGGTGCTTTTATACTCATAAAAATTTGGTTTCTTAGCCAGGCACAGTGGTGCACTCCTATACTTCCAGTGGCTTGGGAGGCTGAGGCAGGAGGATCATGAGTTCAAAGCCAGCCTCAGCAAAAGTGAGTTACTAAGCAACCCAGTGAGACCCTGTCTCTAAATAAAATACAAAATAGGGCTGAGAATGTGGTTCAGTGGTCAAGTGCCCCTGAGTTTAGTCCCCAGTACCTCCAGAAAAAAAAATATGGTTTCTTTATAAAAATATTTTCTTTGTAAATATGTAGATTGGCAAAATGATTTCCTAACACACCAAGAGGAATTTATAAGGAAATCCCAACAGGCTGACTAGTACTTCATGAGTACGCACTCGAGGAAGGTCTGCCCATTGCTGATACTGACTTTTTGAATATAACATGAAGTTGTGGGTTCTGGGTTGTTAGTAGTTCTGCGAAACCTTGGCTAAGCCCAGTTTGGTCATTTAGAAAATAAAATAATTATATACTATCTCACCTACCTAATATGCTCATGGGAATGATCAAATGAAATAGTGAACATGAAAATGGCTTAACATGCAAAGCAAATGTGTGGCCCTCATGTGATGTTAACCATTATGATCTATTGATGGCAGTTTCCATGTGAACGTTCCACTACCAGGGCTGCATCTCTGACCTGGTCTTTCTTGTCTTTGGGCAGCACCACCTGTCACTGGTAACCTGTTCCTCCCTCATGAGGTTTTTCTTGCCCCTGGTTTCCTTGACCCTTGTTTTCATCCCACCTCAAAGTCCACTCTGAAATCTTATTTGCTAATTTTTCCTCTTCTACCAGCTGTGCTAATGTTGGAGCCACTGTTTGGTCCTGTGGCCCTCTACTCTTCCCTGTCTATTTTCTCTCCCTAAGAATTCTATCCAGGAGAATGTCATTAAATAGCAACTATATTCTCCACCTCTCCAAACCATGCCTCCACTTTGACAGCTTCACTGGACTCTAGCTTTCCATATCTAATAGCATGGATGACACCTCCCCTTGATGTCTAAAAACAATCTTGTCCTTGGGATGGGAACTACTGAGTCCCACCTACCTTCAAACTAGCTCAAGTCTTTGGCATCTTCACAAATGGTACTCACCATCAGGGCCACTGCAGTTAGACAGAATGTAACCTATATAATTCATGGTAGTCCCTACTTCAATGAGTTCCCTCTTATCCTGCCTGATGGCATAACTCCTTGATAGCTGATCAATTCTACTGCCATTTTGCTCAAGCCTCCATCTTATCCATGCCAGATCTGTGGAGCAGTCCAGAAACGGTCTCCCCACTGACACTCTTGCTTCCTCGCCAGGTCTACTTTCCATCCAGGAGCAAAGATGACTTTTATTAAATGAGATCATGCCCTCTTCTCCAGCTCAACTTCTGTCAATGATTTTTCTGGTACATAAATTTATACCAGACCTGCCACATTCTGGTGCCATCCAACTCTGCAGGCTCATCCTCTGTCACTGTCCCTCACTGATGGCACTCTAGCCATTCYGGTCATTTTCTGTCCTCCAACATGACACACCACCCAATTTTTTAAAATGTATTTCAGAACGATCCAGAAGAGGGAAAATTAAAAATACTATACCTTCATGTTACTGAAGTTCTTTTTGTATATATACCGTTTCCGGAAGAGGGCAGCTGCAAATGGCGACACTTCCAGACCCATCTGTGACATGCACTCTGTTTCTCTAAATAAGACTAATATCTGAGGATCAAAGTTCACAAACAACTCCCCAGAGTCTGGAGCCTTCACCAACAAAGAAGCCTCAAGACCTCTGTGAACTTCTCTGATCTGTGGGAAGAAGTCAGCATCATTACCATCAGAACGTTCAACGAACACCAAGAGCATCCCACTCAGCCACTCCTGGGGAGCCAGGTTGCTAAGTGTTCTTGCTAGGACCTGAGCGTCCTGAATTAAAGGCAGTGGGAATGCTGCTCTTACCCTAAATTCTCTCTCAGAAATAACCTCCAGGTTCTTGGTGGTGATGGTGCATGGTTAATTCAATAAAATGTTTCTTTCATGACTCTCACACTTKCTAGAGAAGTGGACCATGCCGTGGTGGTGAGTTCCCAAGAGCCATTCRGCTCCCTGATACCAGGCACCCTCATGCCTACTCAGTTACTCCTTCTATTGAATGTTTCACAAAATCCAACTAAACTCAGTTTTCAGTTACCTAGMAATACAATCAATATGGCTAAGACACACCACTTCCTGCCAATCTACAGGTAAATATTTGTAGGGGATAATTTGATTACCCACTAAGATTGCCAAAAAAATATATTTAAGACTTTGTCTAACAGACATACTGTTGTATAAGACACATTCAGGTCTTACCACATTTTACAAAGAAAGAAACCCTAACCTGTGGGGTAGAGAAACTCAGAAAGAGGATTTTCTCACAAAGGAGTTTACTAATTAAATAAAAATGGGTTTCTGATGCCTGGTTTGTGATGCTTTCCAAACAGACAATTATATTCTTTCATGGGCTTGACTTAGAGTCAATCAAAGTGATGTGGGTCTTTTTACCCACAAATCCAGCTTCCCATAGGTCTATCCTGCCAATGCTACAGAAAAGCTCCGGAAGCTTTACCAGTAGAGACCACTTAAAGAGCATMTGTTTAGGGGCTCACCTGTTGAATCCACGCCCTGTGGTAGAGGACCTCGAACTCCAGGAGGACCTTGGCCAACCTGTTGTAACTGCGGATTATCGGCTTGGCCTCAGCTGTCCTCAGCACTGTCGGGTGCTGCTGGAAGAGCTGCATGGGTTGCTGGATCCTGTGGAAGAGTTGGCGGGCCCACAAGATCTTCCCTGCGATGGGGGGCTGGTCTCGAGCCAGAGGAGGGTCATACTTCTGCTTTGTGTAGAGCTCTGAAATCATACCAATGTCAGCCCCGTAACTCTCCAGGATCAGTCGGTATTTGTCATCGATACCAAGATTAGGTATATTCAATCTGATGAAAATGCAGAAAAGTAAAAGTTTGAATTAATGGGAAGATATCTACTAATCTTATTTATTAGCATTTATTTTAAAACATATGGTAATGGGAAAGACTAAAACAGTTGTGTAACATACTAAAAGAATTGAGATACTATCAATCCTTACAGTGTAGGCAAAACTATTAACTTGGGAAGAATTTTTTCAAATTACTCCAACATTAGACATATTACTACAGGCAGTCAYAAGGTACTTCAAAGCTGAGCATATTCTCTATTTGCAGAAATAAAGCGAAGCCTTAATCCTTCAGAGAATTAATCCTCCTAATCCTCTAAAGAACTTAAAACTGTGACTTTATGACTCAGGCTGTCAAAAGAGGCTTTTCTTTCCTTTAGAATATGAAGTAATAACAGTAATAATAATAATAATAGATAAACTATGCTCAAGTTACTCCAATTTTAGAAGATGGAACTTGGAAAATTATTTCAAATTTTTACCTCTCAAATTTCTTTAACATACTTAGAGCTTGATTTGTGTTTTGAATCTTCTCAAATGTAACATCCATGAACTTCTGCAATTCATTCTAAAGTAGAATAAAATCTGATTATGGACAAAAAAATTAACATAGGGAATTGTGTTTAGTAACAAGTGAAAAGAATTTTTGATCCCCTACAAATGTCTATAATAAAGGGCAAAACATAATGGAAAATTTAATGAACTTTAAAGAAAAATAAATGCCCAGAATCCAGAAATAAAGAGACCTGGGAAGCAGAGTGGTCAGAGTTGGCAACATGGCAGGCTCCATGCACCTTGGATATAGGGGCAGGCCTTGGGACCTTCTTAAAATATGGGGCGRGCACTCTGGGGTCCTAATACCCTCAACAAATCCTACAGCAAGCCAGGATCTACAAAGTGCTGCTGTCCAGTGCTTGGTAGGGAAGTACCTGTTTAAAAGTTGAGAAAGCTACATGAGGCTTGTCATTTACCCAGAGCCATGAATAGGGAGAAGTCACCCTAGAATGGGATCCCCCAACTTCTTCCACCAAGTGCTAGAGAGTAAATATTTTCAGCTTTGTGAAACACAAATCTATTTCACAACTGTTCACCTCTGCCACAGTAGTGTCAAAAAGTAGCCATAGGAAATGCCTTAAAAACAAACAGGCAGGGCAAGACTTGGCACTTGAGCGTGGTTTGCTGACCACTGCCAGGGGCAGCTGACCTCCCACCTGTGGCATATGAAGATAAGGGGCCCACATTCATGGTCCACATTGCAAAAAAAGGATCCCCAAGAAATTCACACAGAAACTAGGTAACACCACTAGAACCTTAGCCTAAGTAATGCAAAACCACTCCACGGGAATACTTCCAAAGCCCGAGGCATTAGGACTCCCACAGGAGAAAACAAATAACTGCTAAAGAAGACAAGCTCAAAAGCTTTTGTGAAAACAACATTAAAAAAAAAAAAGATCTTTAAGAGAGAAGCAGCTGAATGCACAAAGAGAATTCATGCCAAGTCCTAGAGATGATGGAACAGTCGGAAAGGACTCTGAAATCAGGGTGTTTAAAATGATTAAGGAGAAAAAGAAGAAGAAACAGGCCATAAAAAGATTAGGATAATAGAAAATAAGGGCTCTCCAATTTTAAAAAATAAGAGGTATACATAGAAAGGAGAAAATTATTCTATTCAATATACAACAGATATAAATAATATATACTTGAAAATAAAATTAATGAACTGCAAGAGAGTTCTAAAATAAATGCCCCAAAATGCTACAGAGAAATTAAAAATAGAAAATATCAAAAAAGAGGCACAGTAGAAATGGAAGTTAGGAAAAGAAGGTATTAACTATTGCAACATAAAAAAGAACATATATTTATTGGAAGTTCTGGAAGAAGAGCCTAAAATATTGCAAATGATGACTGAGAATTTTCTACAATTAAAAAAYGAAAACAACAAATTAGAAGTGGAGAAGGCCCACCAAACTCGAGGCTTTTGAAATCACACTTAAAACGCAGAGGTATCAAATATAAAGAGAAAAATAATACTTAAAGCAATCRGGGGAAAGAAAATTACTCATCAAGAAATAAATTTTTATAGAAAATACCTGATTGAGAAAGATACCAAAAGTCAATGAAACATGATTAGGTATAAAGAAAAATAACTTAGAAAGTAAGATTACATGTGAAGCCACACTGACATTAAATATCAAAGGCAACTTTGTAGGTTTGGGGGCAAACACCAGAGGAGGTTGCCATTGATAAACTCTTGATGAAGCAACCACTAAAGGATATATTTCTTTAACAATTATAAGGAACCCACAGAAAGAAGGAGAAGGAAGACCAGATGTAATAGCAAGCAAATAAATTTGCAAACATGATGGATATCTACATAGCTATTAACAATAACAAYAAGACATTTGGAAAGTTTAAAAGCAAAGTACAACTAAACTGCAATACAACAATAAGACAGAAATAAGAGGTGGATAGAATATCAAATAATTTTAAACATTGTGAAAAATATGCAGAAACAACTAAATATACATGTAGAACATTATTGACCTGAACCAATGAAAAAGGAGTAAAAGGAATAATAAAAATTAACCAACAAACTCACAACTACTAGGAAGGGAGACTCAGCTATAAAATATATTCCAACCAGATGAAATTTTAAGGTGACATGCTCAAAATATGTAAGTAAAAAATAGTAGGAAATTAAAGAACAGAAAAATATTTCAGACAAATACTAAAAGAAAGTTGGAGTAGCACTATAAATAAAACACAAAATAGATTATAGGACAAAGAGCATCACTAGAGATAAAGACAACCATTACTGTAATGGGAACAACTCGCCTGGCAGATATAACAAGTCTAAGCCTATAAGATCCAACCCACAAACCAAAATATATAAAATAATCTGTGACATAGTAGTCACAATAGCTCAAGGAGATCAAAAACTGTTTGGTATTACAATGCATCTATCAGAATGGCCAAAGTCCAGAACACTGAAAATGGAAAATGCTGGGGAGAATTTGGAGTGACGGGAACTCTACTATCATTCATAGCTAGTGAATATGCAAAATGGTGCAGACACATTCAAGTATGGTTTAGTAGATTTCTATAAAACTAAAAATATTCTTACTGTATAATTCAACATTTGTGCTCTTTGATATTTATCCAAAGGAGTTTAAAACTTACSTCCAGACAAAAACTTGCACACAGATGTTTATTGCAACTTTGTTCACAGTTGCCAAAACTTGGAAGCAACTAACATCTTCCAGAAGGTGAATAATTAAATCAGTTGTGGGACTTCACAACTGAGTAATGGAATATGACTCTTAGAAATGACTTATCTAGCCATGAAAAACACATGAAGGGAACATGAATGCATGAAACTAAGTGAAAGAAGAAAATCTGAAAAGGCCACAGRCTATCTGCTTCCAACTAAACTCCAGAAAAGGCAAAACCATGAAGACAATAAAATGGTCAATGTTTGCCAGAAGTTAGGACATTAAAAAGATAGTGATTGTCAAGAGAAGGAGGAATGAATGGGTGGATGCAGAGAATTTTTAGGGCAGTGCCAATACTTTGCATTTTTCTGTAATTGGTGGATATATGTCAKTATACGTTTGTCCAAACCAAAAGAATGTACACCACCAACAGTGAATCTAACGTGGATGATGTACTTGGATGACAATGATGTGTCAACACAGAGTCATCAAYTGTAAGGAGTGTATTCATCTGATGAGGAACGTCAATAATGGAAGAAGTCACACAATGGGGCAGAGCAGGACCAGGGGATATATGGTAAACTCCTGGGCCTTCTCTCAATTTTTCTAAGAACCTAAAATTACTCCTTTAAAAAAATATTTTTAAAGATACTTAATAAGAATAGAAAATATTTTAATAATACAATTAAAAGCTTGATATAGATATAAAGAACCCAAATCCCAACAGGAACACTACCCATTTCAGCACACACAGAACATTTGCAAAACTTAACAATGACCTAATGTCTCAGAGGACATCCCAGGAAACACCCAAACACTAATACAATATACTCCACATTCTCACATTCAACTACAAAAATTTAAGTCATAATAAAATTAGAGTCCATCTAGGAGTGTGGCTCTGTGGTAGAGCTCTTGCCTAGCATGTGGGAAGCTCTGGGTTCTTTCCCAAGAACTGCAAAAAATTTTTTAATAAAATAAGAGTTAATAAGCTATAATAAAAAACTAAATTACACGTTTTAGTAATTTATGAATTAACATCTATCCCATTTACTGGGAAAACACAGACACCTCCTTAGCATCCAGCATAGACTTTTTCCTGGGACCCTTCCTAACCCTAGCCAAGCAGAAGTATGAGACCGTTGTCGCTCAGGTGTATACCCTATCTTATTTGGTATAGCAACCATCTGACTCTCAGCATGTTTTGTAAGCCTGTCTTCCTTCCAAGTTTCTGTAGGACTTGGTCTATATCTTTTTTGGTCTATATCTTGGTCTATATCTTTTTTGAATCCTTGCTTTCTGGAACAGTATCAAAATATTGTTATTTTATAATGAGTCATTTTAGTTTGTAATCGCAATCCCCTCCCCTCTTTTGGGTGCTGTATTCATTCCTCTGTTCTAACTTAATATGCACTCACATTTCAATCATATCACTGCTTCCTGTCTGACTGTAAGTTTAGGAGGCAAATCTACCCACAGCATAGATGCCTAATACATCATTGTTATATAGTAAACACATGTTTCTTTGCAGTAAATCTATTTATTAACAAATGGGGCTAAGACATGATTCCTGCCCTCAAAGTGCTTACCATTAGCTACTGAAGTACCTCCCATGTGATCAAAAACCTTTGAGGAAACACAGATGAGGGCAGGACAAGTGGACACTGATTATGCAACATAAAATCAGGACCCATGCTGTACAAAGAAATCAGGATCTACTGCCCTTATGTTTGAATCAGACCCCAAAACATATCATTGTTTAAATTATTATAAGCACTGTATCTTCTCATCAAATGAAATGTCATAGACCTAATGGTTCAGAATTTTAATTCTAGAGCCAGCTTTCCCAGGTTTGACCCCAACCCTGCCACTTGTTATCTGTGACTTTGGGAAGACCACTTAACCTCATCATCCCCCAATTTCTTCCTCTGCAAAATGACAGTTATAGAGCACCCACTTCCTAGGGTTATTGTGATTATCAATTTACAAACACGAAGTGCCCAGGACAACTCCTGGCACACAGTTAGCTAGCTTTGTGACAATTCCTTCTACTTTGAACTCACTCCTCCAACAATGCCTCCCAGCTCTTTTCCCCTTGACATGCACAACTTTAGTGCAAACGAAAAATTCTAGAAAGGAAGTAATAGAATGGTCATTTTCCTCTTAAAATCAGAAAGATATCTGTACCCTTGCACCTCACTGAGATAAAAGAAGTCTACACATTAAATATGGCAGACGCTACAGGTTATCTCACATTTCCTACTATCACCTTTCCTCATAACAAACATTCCCAAGAACCCTACTGAGTCCTTCCCTTCTGTATTTACCACAGGATGCCACAGGCTATGCACTATGCTGGAACTAGCAAGCCCATACCCTGCCCCGGGAATCTGGAGCTGGAGTAGTCTTATGGTATGTTCTCAGAAGCTGATGATGGCCATGCTGCTCACAAGGGCTGTAGGTCAAGATGACTGTTCACAGTGAATAGTGGGGAGGGGAACGAGACCCCCAAGATCAAGTGGGGTCCTGGCATCATCCTGTCTAAGGTTTCCAAGGCCAGCAGCAGACCTGCCTTTGGGACCTGCCAGACACCACGGAGGTCTACTTAGGCTTCCTCTGAGCATAATCATTGCTATAGAGTAACAAACAAATGGAAGCAAATGTCTCCTTTCTAACGGCGACAGTGTTTCAAAGGAAGATGAAAGTTAACTTTCTAAGAACTAGGATGAAGACAARCAGAAGTCTGTGATTATAGATCATTATCCAAAGCCATATTTATGACCCTTTAATCGACAARATAGAGCCCTCAATTATTCATCTGAAATCACCAAATGCAGACGGAGGTTGCTATCGGTCACCTCTGTGATAAAGACGCCTCTCTCTTCTGAATGGCTAATGATTAGCAGCATTACACAGAAAGGGAAAAATAAACATGYGACTGTCAACAGGAATATTATTATACAACCTACATGAAGGTCATTAGTCTGCCTGCAAAACTCTTCATAATCCTGTGCAAAATCCATTTTCCGATGGTCTAAGAAATCATATTCCTTTTTCTTTATGGTTGCAACAATGTCCTGGAATATTATGAAAGAAATAAGACAACATTTTAATATTCTTGCATTACTTAACTAACTGTGACCCTTAAATGCAGAATCTACACAATCATTCCTAGGGAAAAGAATTTTAAAAGAAGCCTATTTCTGTAATTACTCACATTGCTTAGTGCTTATTGTTTTATAGGCAGTATAATTTGCCATGCTGCATTTGAAGAAATCATTTGGAAAGCACTTTCATGAGTTTTATATTTTTGAAGAAAAAATATAAATTAAAAAACACATTTGAAAATTAGGAGAGATATTTTCTCTAAAAGTTACTTATTAATCACATCTGAAATAACAAAAACAACTCAGTAGAATTGACAAAATTACTGTTTGTTAAATAATTTAAATCATCTCAGAATATAAATAAGGTTTTTACACAACACAAACAATATAGGAATAAATTGACTGGGTTCTAATATCTACTGATAAGATAACTACTACCCAAGCTTCAAGTGTCTTAAATAAAAACTCAAACCACAACCTAACACTTAAAAACTCTCTAAAATTAATTGCTTCCTACTGCCCTGCAAGGCTACAGTCTGTGACTGTGAAAGTACAAATTAAGCAATTCATCTCCTTGAAAATACTATCATCAGAGGTTTTGTTTGCACTGAATAATGAGCTATAGTGCTCTGTGATCGCTCTTCACAGGTACTAAGCCATTCTCAAACCCAGGTGCCCACACTATTGACAGAGGCATATAATTTTTATGAAGAATATTGGGTCTCCTTCCATGATCTCATCTTCAAAGTCATTTCTACTTAATCATCAATTCAAATCTCTCAATAGACAAAGGTGCATAAACTACATAATTTCTTGAATCAAGTTTACAAGTTAAAACAACCTACTTCTTCATCCTGGGTAACTACAAAATCAGTTACTTTTAGAAATTTTGCATCTGAAAAAATGGAAAAGATATGTTATAACATCTTATTGTAGTAATTTAAAAGATTTAAATTACTACTTAGTGTAGTTATTTTAAAAGATTTGGACCAGAGGAAATCCTGCTCTATGATTAGATCTAATGATTGCTTAAGAATACTAAGTTAAATAAGTGAATTAATGTGACCTTTAAATTAATCAAACTCAGTCTATTTAATAATTTACTCGATAGATAGTTATTGCACACCCATTTTGTGCCAGTAAACTCTGAAGACACAGGAATAAACAGAGCTGACAAATAACCCTGACCTCATCTAGCCACATACTTGGTGGAGACAGGGAGTTGGAATATATAGAGATCACAGTTAAACAAAGACCATCAGCTCTGACCAGGAAAAATGGGTAATGTCACTTAGAGTAATGAAACAGAGGTCAAGCTAAACGTCACTGAAAGGGTGATTTAAGTCAAGCTGTAGGGGCCAAAGAGGAAACAACCATGAGATTATCCAGAGGCAGAACTTTCCAGAAAAAAAAAATTAAAAGGCTCTGCAAGCCCTGAGTGGACTGACCTTGCCTGCCCTGGGTCTGAAGATGATGCAATGAGACGAGGAGCAGGGGAAGGGGGCAAAGGGGTGGGCAGGGCCTTACCAGCCAGGCAGAGAGCATGAGATTCATTTCCCCCATGCCATTTTGAGCTTCTGATGTTGGCCCTGCTTCATGAAACTCTCACTTTATGCTTTCAKGAACCATCTACGTTTTATCTCACTACCATCTGGTGTATCCATTTTAATCAGTATTTCACTTTAAAATTTCAAAGCAATTGTGCAGTATTTTTATCGGGTTAAAAGAAGCATCTTATCTGCCTTTAGATGTACAGTTCAACTTCTCTTTCAAAAATAAGCTTTTAAATTWGTTCTAAAGTTGTTTTTTTATTAAAATAAAAAAAAATAATTTATATGATTCCAAACTGAAAATATAAATGGGCCTATTCTCTTTGCCTTGAAAAAAACCAACAGTTTCAAAGTGTAGCTTATCCATCTTGCAGATGATACACAGCACAATTTAAATGTTCCCTGCTATATAAAAGTATTTTCTCTCCTAAAACCTGATGTACTCAGGAAATGAAAAAGATTCCTTATATTACTCTAATTCAGTCAGAGTACAAAAATTAATGTGTGGCTGTAAATTTTGTGATCCTTTTCAAGTTCAAATAGGAAAAATAATAATTTAAGTTCTAGAGTCAATATCCCCAAACAAGGAAAAWTTGACTAGACCCACATTAAAAACTCAAAACATATTCTGTTTGTAAATTGTCTTTTAAAAATCTTCAAAACACTAGTAGGTCACTGTGCCCACTTTCAAAACTGAGATTCAGCATACAAGTCCCTTTACAGGATAAAGAGAAAATTCAAAATAATTAGGAATATTAGAACTCCAACGAAATCTGTCTCTTTATATTTTTAATATGTGTTCAAATAGAATGCTTAAATGCACAGATAATTGAATGATACTCAGAACTTGGAGTCAACGAGTGCCTGATACTTACTATGTTCTTCATTAAATGTTTCTTGACTCAGTAAATGAAATAATATGTTATTTTAAAACAGTTTTCTTATTCTACTAATGGAAAAGTTTTTTCTAATGGTAATTAATTTTATAGTATTGGAAAGTCATTCATATAACACACCTGAAAAGAGCATATTAACACAATTATGCAATACACAAATCTAATTTCTTCATTATTAAGGGGTCACGAGATTATATTTTACATTATAGACTGATGATTTGAATCATTCTAAATAACATTATTTGCATCAAATACTAAAGTTTAGTTATGGACAATGGCAGTGAATACAGTTTTAAAGTATAAAACCTGGTATTTAGTGACCATGTCTTCCAGCCCTTCAATCTTAGAGTCTTGCAGGACTGAATACGTCTTGAAGGTTGTAAAGATGTCCATTATCTTGGCAAGGCGTCGATGGAAAGTTTCAAATTTTCCAAAAATATATATTTCACTAAATTCAAATTGTTTTTCACTTGGTTTTTCTTTAAGCTTTTGTTTTGTCTTGTGAAAGCAGTGCTGGTATTCCTTAAAATCAAAAGCCAAGTATAAGCAAGTGAACATGGTGGGGAAAGATGGTGGAATGAGATGGACATCATTACCCCTAAGTACATGTAAGAAGACACGAATGGTGTGACCACTTTGTGTACAACCAGAGACATGAAAAATTGTGCTCTATATGTGTACTATGAATTGAAATGCATTCTGCTGTAGCTCAGTGGTAGAGCACCTATCCAACATGCACAAGACCCTGAGTTCCAGATCCAGACCATTAAATAAATAAACAAATAAATAAGAAAGAAAGAGAACACACAATAATAATTTTATTTTCTTAAGGGCAGGTGATAGCAAATTTAGGAAGAAAACGTYCACATTTTCACAGTTTCATGTCTTTGTGTTTCTTTATCTGTMAGCCTGGAATATCATCTTTTCCCGTCTTCCAATGTAGCAAGCTCTTAATTATTCATGGTACAACTCAAAGGTATGGTTTCCTACCCTGGTCCCACCATTTTGGTAACAGCATGGATGTGCCTATCTCCCCATAGGTCTATAGAATGATGCTGAAGTAAAACTATGTCATCTTCTTCATCCTGTAGCTCCAGAACCTAGCATAGTATCAGGACATAGTAGGACTCTAACAGCTCAGCTTTCTGGAAAGGTTTATTAGCACCCAATTTTCTTAACAGTAAAAAATTACTGTTCTTTAAGTCTATTGATGTGATGAATTACATTTATTGATTTCCATATGTTGAACCAACCTTGGATGCCTGGGATGAACCCCACTTGATTGTGGTGCACTATCTTTTTGATACGTTTTTGTATTTGATTTACCAGATTTTTATTGAGAATTTTTGTATCTGTGTTCATTAGAGATATTGGTCTTAAGTTATCTTTCTTTGATGTGTCTTTGGAAACTGTGGTATATCTACACAATGGAATATTACTCAGCATTAAAAGAGAATAAACATGGCATTTGCAGGTAAATGGATAGAGTTGGAGAACATTATGCTAAGTGAAGTAAGCCAATCCCAAAAAAACAAATGCCAAATGTTTTCTCTGATATGAGGATGCTGATCTATAATGGGGATGGGGTGGGGGGGAGCATGGAAGGAATGGAGGAACTTTAGATAGGGCAAAGGGGAAGGAGGGGGAAGGGAGGAGATAGGGGGGTAGGAAAGATAGTAGAATGAGATGGACATCATTACCCTAAGTACATGTAAGAAGACACGAATGGTGTGACCACTTTGTGTATAACCAGAGACATGAAAAATTGTGCTCTATTTGTGTACTATGAAATGAAATGCTGCTGTCATGTATAACAAATTAAGATAAGTAAATAATTTTTTAAAAATTACTGTTCTTTTAAGCAACCAATAATATAAATGCTARATAATTTAAGATAGTCTCAGCAAAAACAACAAAGATAATAAAACACCTAAAGATATTACTGAGCTAGCCATTACCTGCTTCAGTTTAATTGCTGATGATATTTTTTCCATAACAACATCCTGTGGCTGGTTCCAGATGGAAGTGGTTCCATTGTTGGTAATATAGGCTTTACATGCAGATATCATCTGATTTGTCACCTGGAATTTTCCAATAAAATAGCTGTGRACTACAAATCAAAGTAGAGGACCCTCAACTCTTCTACCTCTCAGAACTCACAGTCTGTGAACTCTATCTTTAGATTTCTTTTCTCCCAGCACAATTATAATAAGCTCTGAACCTTTAATACTGTCAAAATCATCTGTGAAATCACAGAGTTGGAAGCACRGCAGAAAGTCAACAATTGCAGCATCTTGTTCATGCAAGACGAAGGTCTTAACCCACCAAAGGATTCACCTCCCTGTCTTACCATCTGACAAGTCTCCCTGATCTCCCTAGGTGGCCTGCTGTAGCATCTACCTCACAGTTTACAAGCACTTTGATATTTCATGCCACCATGACCTATAGTAAAAATGTCAAAAGGAGATCACAGAAAGGCCAGGAAAGCTAGCCTATGAAACACTAACATATTATTCATCTCTCCAAACTTTAAAAAAAAAAAGCCTTCAGAATTTTCTTGATTTTTTTTCCTAAATAAAACAAAAGAAAAATTAAATGACTATTATGTATGCACAGGATAATATGATACCCAGGGTTTGCAGGGTAGGAGTGAAATTGTAGGCAAAACAAGATCAGATGTGTAATGATAATTGCTGAATTGGGGTGAGATGTGGATGGGGGTTCAGTATACAAACCTCTACCCTTTTGTACTACTTTAAAAGTTCCATAAAAAAAGATTTTTGATAATTGACAAACAGTAGTTTTGCAATTTTACCCTAAAYCAATTGTTACAAATAATATGTATGAAATCTAGATTAATAATTCAATCAGATTTTGAGTCTCATTTATCTACAGAATATCATCCCTGGCCCCAACACTCAGTTTTAAAGTGTGAAGAAACAGGGGAGGATCCTGCAGGCATCCCTGCTCTCCGCCTGGACTGCCCACACCAGAGCAGGGGGAAAATCCCCTTAGGGAGCCCTAAAGGCTGACCATTTCTGTTCCCAGGAAGAATTATGCCTTGTGCTACTAGGGGATTTGGAACACAGCCTTGAAGAGTCAAAAATCTTTCTATTTTAATGCAACATTTGAAATGTTTGCCTTGATATTGAAATAGACATTTACTTCTTAGAGACTTTCAAAGAGGGAAATAGCAACAGTGCTTATCATAAACGCTGGTGAGCTAGGACATAAGGTCTAAACATCATTATGTTTTTTTGACAGAATCATTATAATTGCTTTATAGATTACTGGAACATTGAAAGTGGCTTTTATTACCATGATTACTGTTCTAATAACACCAAGTGAGCAACTGTGGCATAAAATGAATGTGGGACCGTGGTGTAAAGAATAGGAAATGGGAGATAGCCAGTTAACTGTAGCTTTTCTTAGTTATAATTTGCTCCAAAGGAATAAAGAATGGGCTAGGTAACAAAGGGAAAGAAATTCCAAAAAGAGCTTTTTTGTTGTTGTTGTTGTTGTTTTATATAAATAACAAACTATCACAATTATTATTTTGGAAAATAATTCTTTATTTGCTATACTTTACCTCTCACAAATTTAATTCTATTTCTATCGATAGACTAAGCCTTTTTTAAATTTTAAGACACATAGACATTAGATTGGACTAATTTGGTGATTTGTAATTTTCAAAAATGACCATTGGCAAAGAAATATGTGACTAGGCACTCTGCACCATGAACTTACCTTTATGAACAGAGATGTGATCTTCTCAGAGGTGTTATAGTAGAGAGAGATGCTGTAGATCATTTTAATTGCATTTATAAGTGTAGGAATAGCATCAATCATGGATATCTGGAAGATAGCACCGAAGTTTTCAGGGAAACAAGGTCAAATTCATCCAGATTCTAATTGTATAATCATTTCATCTTCATTAGAATAAAATTTGGGAGTTTTATTTAAATTTTAAATGCTACCTAATGTTTTCTGTAAATATAGAATATTTAACAATATTTTTTATTATTTTAGTCATTTATAGTTAATCAAATTTTATTTCAATGCAAGCAACATTAAAGAGGTTATATTACCAGTTGAATTTATAATAAATAAAATTAGGCACTTCCTAAAGCAAAAGATTGTCTTAAAAACCCAGCCAGTGATTATTCCCACAGTTCTTCAAGGTGTAATCCAGAATCAACTGAAATATTTAATAGAAAATAAACACCAGGGAATGAGATTGATCAAATTATGTTATGTGGGTATACAAATATGGCATAATAATTCCCACCATCATGTATGATTATCATGTAGCAATAAAAACAAATTTTAAAAAATAAAATGTGCAGTATATGCTTTCCAAATGTAACATTTCATAATTTATCTTCCATAGTAGGCATAGAAGGTAGGTATGTCGATAGGTACAGATGATAGATGAGACGGACATAGAAATGGATAGGGACAGGGAGTGATACACCATTTTCTTGAGAATAAAAGAGCAGAACTTTTTCAACATRTTGGAGTAATTAAATCCAACACGCAGCACTCTGATCAGCTAGTGCAGACAGGGTCATCAGTGGACTAAAGGAGTAGAAATCCATAACTCACGGGATCACTGTTGTACAAAGGGTCACAGCATTTCTCAAGTGTATACAAATATTTGACATTGTCCTTTGCTTCATTAGCTGCATCAGTGATTCGAATATCCGTCTCCCGCCAAGCCTAAGCACAATACAGGAAAGCAATCTTAATGCAATTACTAACAGAGCAACTTCCAACATACGAGCTTCTAAGTGTCACCACAAATCCCTTGGGTCATACTTGCCATTTGTTCTGTGCAGCCTGCATGAAACTGAATCCCRGAGGTGAGGGACATTGCTATGCTGAAGAACAACTTAAAATTTCTGACTAAATGTCAAAAGGCTTCTCTTCCAGGCCCTCTCTTATAAAATCTATTCTCTAGCTAGCATAGAGCCCCAATAGGASGGGATCTCCCTTTAAACTCACAGCCCCCGGCCTCCACTGGCAACTGGACCCACTTCATACCTCACCCCTTGTCTTCTGTCTTCTCTCTATTCTAACCTGAGCCCCTTTTCCCTGTATCCCTATGCCTTTGTCCATCAATTAATGTAGCAATTATTTATTAGCTGACAACCTTATGCCAGGACTATGCTCTTGGTGATGAACTTCAAAATGAAAAGGTATCTAAAAGAGGTAGGAGGAAATGATTTAGCAAGAATCAATACATTTAGTTGACTTCACGAAGGTCCTACTGATAGTATTCAGAAACACTGAACCGTATCGCAAGGTTCGTCTCTCATATTTCTTTAATGATACAAGATAAATATAAAGCACATTTATTGAAACAAATGATTATTCAAATTATACACATGGATTAAAACATCTATGCAACTAGCAACTAATAGGGGTTATGGCACCAAGGCCCAGTGAGTTAGGAAGTGTCCACCACTTTCCCTAGGAACCCCAACTCCTTATATCCATGCTCTGTGTCATCCCTTCCCCTTGATCATGGACTAAATCTAGTGATGGGCAGGGGGTGGGGGGGTACCAGGGATTGAACTCAGGGGCACTCGGCCACTGAGCCACATCCCAGCCCTATTTTGCATTTTATTTAGAGACAGGGTCTCACTGAGTTGCATAGTGCCTTGCCTTGGCTGAGGCTGGCTTTGAACTCAGGATCCTCCTGTCTCAGCCTCCCAAGTGATGGGCTTCTAATAAATAGAAAATGACAAAAGCAACAACATGTCACTCCCAAGGCTGGTTTACAAAGACTATGGCTTCTACTGGGCTTCCCTTGCTCCCTGAAAGAGCAGCCAAAAGCCACATTGTCACTGCCCTGTGGGGCGGRGGTGCAGGAGGTCTGTGTGGTGAAGAACTGAAGGAAGCCTGCGGCCAATGGCTGGCAAGGTGCCGAGTCCTCAGCCACCACAGGAGCCATCAACCACCACAGGGGCCACCTCAGCAGCAGATCCTCGTGCCTCAAGCCCTCAGGTGAACCAACATCCCAGCTGCAACCACGTGGGAGATCCTGAGACAGAGGCACCCACTAAACTGCACCCAGACCCCAACCCACAGATGGTGAGATAAAAATATTTGTTGTTTTGGGTTGCTAAATTTGAGGGTAATATGTTTTGCATTATAAAACTAATATATCAGGACTAAACATAGATAAGGTGAGGTTTTATTATCACCACCTCTGTAAGGTCTAAATTCATTTTATCTGTGTGTGTGTAATTATATTATTGTTCTATCTTAATTACATGCAATGCCCTCTTACAATACATACAAGTACCCCCAACAAATCTTTTTTTAAYTCAACAGTTATTTTCACAGCATCCAAAATTCTTTAAAAACACTATGATTCAAACTTAAAAGGTTTTCCTAAATACAAAATAGCACTTTTCTGTYTCTTATCACTTTGATATTATGCATAGTGGATTTTCATTCTCATTTCATAAGACACAGAATGGCTGACAACCTTCAGGAGTTTGGACTTGGCTGCAGCAAGCACCGCCAACATGGCCCTCACATCCGGGCCTTTCAGTTGATCCAAAAGGTAGTTAAATTTAGAGAGTCTCTTTTTCCAGTGCTCCAACTCTGCTCGGGGCCCCACGTCATCTGCTTCCTTCCGCAGCTGATTGTTTTCAGCAAGGACCTGTAAATGCAAAAAAAAAATAATAATAATAATAATAATTCATGAGCCACTGAATGGGGCTGGAGGGGTGGAAATGATATATAAGCTAAAGAAAGTTAAAGMGGTTACACGATCTGAATCATGACACATTTTCATTCATTTACTTGCTTCTGATGATGGTCTCTCACTAATTTAACATGTATCTTTATCAAAACTGCAACAAAGCATGGTGGTGGCATAGCCTGCAATCCCAGAGATTCAGGAGGCTGAGGYAGGAAGATCCCAAGTTCAAGGTCAGYCTCAGCAATTAAGTAAGACCCTAAGCAAATTAGCGAGACCCTGTCTCAAAATAAAAAATAAAAATGGCTGAGGACACGGCTCAGTAGTAAAGTGGCCCTGGGTTCAACCCTGGTACCAAAAAAAAAAAAAAAAAAAGGCAACAAAAATTAAGCTGATTTGTTCTAACTGGAAACTACTTGTTTAACAAGGACTGATTGAGCTTCTAGGTGACCCTGGATTCAGAAAATTTCTCTGCCTGCTCATTTACTATATAATCTTGAAGTAATAAAACCTTGGGAGACTCGTGCCTTGARCAGGTGAATTTTCATTATGTATGTAATATCCACCTTCCTTTAGGACTTTTCCCAAAATATTTTTTTGTAGTGAAGTCTCAAGCTTTTTGAAGGACATTTGAAGAACACAATGAAGTAAAAATGTGTTCTTCTACAGAGGTTCTCTCCAAAGAAACTGGTGAAGTGCATATTTCTAGGTACTGAAGGACAGAGTCATATAGTTTTGCCGCTTAGGGGTCTCACTCACTCTTCTTAACTGGTGACCATAAGGAGAGGCACACTGGTCCTCTCACCTCCGTAAGGACAGGTTAAGATACAGTGGCAAAGGGGAATGTTAGGATAGACCCTATTCCGCAGGCAATTCAGTAATGTGACATCTGAAACTGGGAATTACCTGCTCCATCTGCTTGATCCATACTTTCACACAACCTTCTACTTTTTCCAAAGTCTCAGGGTTGCTAGCTACAGTCAGGTAGTCTATAGGCTCCTTCAGGGATTTCAGTTCAGATATGTCACACTTTTGAAGGCTCACCTAATTAAAATGAAGATTAAATAAATACACACATAAACATGCACACGATGYTCTTGATCACCCCCAAGCCTAGATCTCAAGGGAGTCCTGTTCTATCCACTCTCCTGCTCCCTCAGTGAAAGATCCCTAAAAGCACGGTGTCCAATATATAATGCCCAGTCTTCCCTAYAAATCAAGAACTATGAAAGATGATTGAGCATGGCATCAAATGTTGGCTCTGAAATTTAAAAGATGAGCCCAGATAGAAGGGGAAAGGGAGGGAGCARGAGAGGGAGGTCACAYATCACAAAAGTTGGGAATTAATAAGGAACTTGAAAATTATCACCTAGTTATAAAACAAAGGGAATGATTTAGACAGATTGAAGGAAATTAAATACAGGAGGAGGTGGAGGATAGTAGTCCCTAATTTATTACTGACTCCTTTTGGGAACTAATGAGAGAAAAGGATTCCCATACCCTTCTAGGTAGCAAGTTCATGGGCAAACTTGGATTCAATTTAGAGGGCTGGGAGGTGGATTTTGGATTCACAAAGAAGTGTTTTTAAACACAAATAATATACCAAATCACCAAATGGGCCTCTCTGCTTGAAAGGGCATTTTCCTCTGGCAAATGTGTGCCTGATAACCTGTGTAAATCTCTGAATTCAGCCCTCAGACCCAGCTTTACCTACAGCAGGATCAGAAGCAGTCGGAAGGGCTGTGACTATTTGTCATCCTCAAACTCCATGAAGCTCAGGCCCCACCCCTGGAATGCCGGAGGCCCTAGGAAGGATGGAAGGGGAGGGTACCTGCAGGGGAAGGTAGTGTTCCAGCTACAGGGTCCTGCCACAGGAACACAGCCACTGCTCATCCTCCCCACGGCTTCTGGTCTCCTTCACCAGGCTTTGTAATAAGCCCTGAGCCCTGACTTCTGGTGGTCCTCAGTCCTGCCTCCCAAGCTCACCTCTGCTCAAATGTGATGCTTGTGCAGCCTTCCATACAAAGCCAAGCTCCACATCTGCCCTGTCCTCATGAGTTGGACTCAGAGGAGTGACTTTGTCACCCCAGAAGTGGCCTTGTCACTTGGGGTTCTTCACATTGCTACAGTCTGACAGAGCTCTGGCAAACTCACCTAGGTCACCCCCGCCCACATGCCACCCTGGTGCACCTCTGCCGGCACCGCCCAGCCTGGAAGGTCTTCCAGCACTTCTCCATGGTCCCACACACCTTCAGCAGCCAGCCCAAGGCCCAGCTGCCACTGCTTCCCAGAGAGAATGCTTCATCCCCTATGGGAATCTATCCYACCTTTTAATACCTTTATTACAGTATGAAGTGAAAGCATTGCTTTGTGGAGTGCAAGGCCAACAATTTCATTTGATCCAACCTGCATTTGAGTGACCTATAACCTAGTTCATGGCAAATACAATTCAGATGTTAACTGGTTCATCCACCCCCGTCTGGATAAAATCTGCTCAACTGCCCAATCCCACATCCCTCAATAAGCACATCTCCTCCAAATATTCCAATAGGATTRGTGTTCCCTGGAGAGGAAAGAGTGCCACTGCATTGCCACCAGTACCATAGCAGCATCTCTCCTCCCGAGGGTATCTGATCTGGGCTCTGTTGTTTTCCAATGTTCCCTCACCTCTTCTCTCTCCCACTGACACCTGCCTCAGACACACAAAAATGTACATCTGCTAACTTCTGCCCCCAAATAATCTCCAACAGAAAAATGCTGAGCCTCCATATTTGCTAAACTGGTCCTTAGAGACTGTTTAGTCACTAGCTAAGCAACAGGACCCAACCCACTCCCTGCAGATGAAACAATTCCTCTTTCCTCCTTCCACCACTGTCCCACCTGCCACCACGCACACGCACACACACTCACACACACACCTGGCTCCAGATTCCTTTAATTCAAGGATGCACATCAATGCTACAAGTATTTCATGCTCTTGTCTTCACTGTCAAACATCTAAAATGACTGAGTAAAAACCTACATCACTGCCAGCCTTTTCATGGAGCACCCAAATGCCTTAATTATTATTATGCACACATAAATACTTAAATCTAGTCACCATGGCATCTTGGGGGCACCATAAAATTGCCTACTAATTTTTGCAAGATTTTCAGCATGGTGGAATGCAGATCATGGAAGAGAAGTGTCACCCACGTAGAGATTGTGTAGTTGGCCACCGGATCACTTTTAAAAGAACAACTTACTAGTTCTTACCTTCTCCTTCAAACTCTCCTGGGCACCAGACAAGACATTGACAAAGCCTTCCAGAGAGCTCAGGAACTCCTGGCGAAGGCTGGCTGCGTCCTGAAGACCCTCGAGCTCACCCCAGCCATGGCTTGAAGCTCTGAGGGCAGGAATGAAGATGTCGGAGAGCAAGCGTCTCACGCTGTTTAGCAGCCCCCCATCTGCGGTGTCCAGCATGTTAAAGCTCACCTCCTGGAAAGCAGTCAGGAGACGCTTTATTGTAAAAGTTATCCTCAACTGCAACATAGCCACCGGGTCATTCCTAAAAGTTGCTAATTAATCAAAATCTAGTGAATTTACCCAGTGAGCTATTACTTTGATACCCTGGTTAATAAATAAGCTATCTCCCATTATAATTTGCAGTTATCACAATAAAAGTATGAAATAGAGCACCAGATGTTTGCCAATTTATTTGCTCCAAGAAGATAATGCACCCGTTAGGTGACAAGGGACACCTGTTTGGATGCACTTTGTTTCACAAAAAACATAAATATTGCTACTTATCCACTTAGAGAAATCTTATTTTCAATGTCTGCAACTTGTCATTAAGTAAATTATGTATGGGAAATACTTATTAATACCTCACTGTACACACAGACATAATGTTATATCAATTTTTCTTAATAAAAGCCTGCTTAGTCAAAACATTTAAAGGAAATGTCTTCTTGAATACTTGCTTTAAATGATTAAAAAGTACTTCCTTGAAAGTAGTTTTAGATACTGCAGTGAACACAGTGCTTTTCTCCACTTTTGCACAGCTCAGGGGATTTTTGTTGATTGGGGTAAACAGTTGCCCCTCACCCGGTGGATGTTCTCAGGGGTGATGGCTCTGGATGGGTCGGGCCTGATGAAGAACACACACACTCCTGTAAGGGCCACATCTTTTCCCTCAGTCACGAACACCTTAGGTTTTTTAATCTTTCCAGAAACAAGATTTACTTCTCCTGGAGAGCCAAGTTGTCCTGCAAATGCAAAAGAGCTTTAATGTCATAAATGCCATTTACAGTCTACATAGATACTTAAGGATGAAGGTTCCTTGTTAAAATATTGCCCTTGCTGACTTGCCCATGTTCTCTACAACTTGGCCGGATTCTAGCCTGAACCCAGAAAAGGTCTCTAAATATCTCTTGATTTCAGATCCTAGATTCATTTCTAAATCATTGCTTCAGGGGCAGTAAGAAAGGTGACGGAGCAGAGAGCATCTACTGACATGTCACTGACCTCCCCCAGGTTCCTGTCTACATTGTTAAAACTCTCAACCTGTGGGCATCGGTGACCTGCCCAGGCTGCACAGCCAAGAGGTGGAAGTGCCAAAGTCAAAAACCAGGAGTCGCCTCTCCATGCTGCCCTTCCAGGCCATCRTCAACACAATTAGCTGGTTCTCCAGGACACTGCCAGGGTCACTTACAAAACATGTGATCTTGGAAAAGTTAYTTAATCTTTCTTTGCCTCTATTTTCTCATCTGAAAAATGGGAATAATGATTCTAAAATGAAGCATCTGGAATTGTGAGAATTACATGAGTTAATCCATGTAAACCCTATTTTAGGAAAACAGAAAAATATTCATTCAGTAAGTGTTACTATTGTCAGGGTTTTAAATTTTATTTTTGGTTGTTCAAGCACTTAGCTCATGGGGTGCGTCATTTAAGTACACAGAATGTACTGTGAGCTGTTCTACTGTGTTCTTAAAGGCTCAAGAAAGTTTTAGATCTCCAAATGTCCTGGGGACTCAGCCAAGACTACTAGGTGGGAGGACAGTGCTAAAGGAGGAATTGGGGGAGGGTGAAATGGAGGTTGAGTCCTGACCCCGGGATTAGACCTGCTGGAGCAGTGCTGTCTGGGGGTTCCTCCTCCTCATGGTGTGACGCTAGAGAAGTCTGACCAGGACTTTGAGAAAGAACTCCCTAAAGGAAAGCAGAAGAGCTCTCCTTCTTTTAAAATGATGTCCCTCTTCTAATGAATACCCCCAGAATCTCACAGGTAATGTGATGCTAAACAAAAAGTTTCCACTGAGGCACCAAGATACGACAGGTCATAGAAAACAGTGTCTCATGGCACACTCACACAAAAAAAAAAAAACTGCATAAATTTCGGTACCCATTAGACTCCTCCACCCCCTGTCAGAATCCAAAATGGTCAAGAGGAGCTAGGTTGAAGAGGATTTCGAGGACCACTGTGCTATGCAAAGGGCAGAGGTCTGGAGTGCTTTGGCTATTCCCCAGGTCAACAACAAGGAGCTACTGATCCCAGTTGCCCCAGAATTGAGGTTTCCTAGGATGCTGAACTCACAGTACTAAAGCCAGGAAGGTGAAGTAGGACCGATGCCACCCTTGAAACATGGGATCTTCAACTCAACCATCTAACGAGCCTAGTTTATACCTCCTGGAGTTTGAGAATGAAATGGATTGTCTGTGACGCTTGTCCAGGAAATCTAAATACAGCATGCAACAARGCCCCGAGAGTCAGGGCTGGACTGAGAACTGAAAACATGTCCACAGGTGACAGGAACAAAGGGCACTAAGTGTGAGGATATTCAATCAATCAACAAATATGTGAAAAAATGTTCGTCATCTCTAGCAATTAGAGAAATGCAAATCAAAACTACTCTAAGATACCATCTCACTCCAGTCAGAATGTCAGCTATTATGAAGACAAACAACAATAAATGTTGGAGACGAAGTGCGGGGGAAAGGCACACTCAAACATTGCTAGGGGGACTGCAAATTGATGCAGCCAATATGTAAAGCAGTATGGAGATTCCTTGGAAAACGTAGAATGGAACCACCATTTGACCCAGCTATCCCTCTCCTCAGTCTATACCCAAAGGACTTAAAAACAGCATACTAYAGGGACACAGCCACATCAATGTTTATAGCAGCACAATTCACAATAGCTAAACTGTGGAACCACTGAGTGTGACAATGGAACCATGTKGATGGCCTGGAGCCACCTTAGATGATGCTTCAGAGGGGTGTTGGAAGGATAATTGGAGAGAGCAAGCTGGGGTTGCATATGCTACCACAATACAGAGGCAGGCAGCAGGAGCTGTGCTGAGGACCACACACCACCAGTGGACATGCAGCTAATGTTCTCAGAGGAGAACCACCATGGGGCCACAAGAATCCAGCCTGGCACAAACACAGTGGCTAACCCAATGGGGCCACAAGAATCCAGCCTGGCACAGTCAAACACAGTGGCTAACCCAATGTGGCAAGGGGTAGAAGAGTCAACCAAGGAAGCAAAGGAAGACCACATGATTCTCTCCCACTGTGAACATCAACTTCAGAGGTCCTGCTGGGGGCTGGCGGGGCAGGGGATGAGCAAGGGCAAGAAAGGGAGATGATTTAAATTCTGATCAAATAATTCTAATCAGCTGGACAATTCTACTTTTGAATTAAGTGTTTGCAAGTTGAAATATCAATAGGCAATATTCCTACTTAAAAATGTCTGGGAAAAGTCATGAGGTTGCYTGAATCTTAACCCAAATTCAGAAACAAACAGTAGAAAGGTTTAAAGGGAAATGGAGAAGCTGTGAAAATAAGATTGAATTTATGTTTACAGCCTACGAACCCTTCTCCTTTCATGTATAATTTACCAGAAGACCAGCTTTACCCTGTGCACAGTTCATGTGTGAACTTCATCCATTTGAACTCAGGCTTTGCAATCAAAACTTCTATCTTTCACTCAAAATATAATGAACCATCTGAGCACAAAATATCAAACTGATAACTGGAGAAATGCCAATCACTTAGAATTTGCATGCATAACTTCTTTARTTGTTAAACAAGGAAGCATATTCATGTTATATGTCAAGAATAAGAACTATTCTCCCCTTTTTTTGAAAGTGGCATAAAGGATGCATATAATACTTTAACATAATCATAATTTACTTATTTATGTCCTTAGTTTGGCCTTAAAATAGAATTAAAAGTATAATGGGGGTTACCAGTTGGAGCCACCCAAGAATCTGCACATTTTTCTTAAGTGAAAATGCCTAAAAATTTGTCTTTCAGTATTGCACTTTTAAATCAGAATCAGCAGAAAATAAACACAATGTGATATTTAGCTAAAAAAAAAAAATCATGTTATACTTACTGGCAATGATTTCTATGTTAATAAGAGAAACAGATGCCAATTAGAAGTTCTAGAACATAAGTACATAGAATGATCTGACATCTAAGAACAGGAAGTCTCAAAACAAACTCGATTTTATTATTCCCCTCTGGCCAGCACAGGCGTAGAGAAGGAAGAGAAAGCAGGAGTCTGAGCCCTGGGCTAAACACTGCTTTCTCCATCCCCTGCCCCGGAGGTGAACACGTCTCCTTGGCAGGGCCACCCACCCCTTGCACAATGGGKTTCCCACACACCCCCACCCCAGGATGCCCGACTCGTTCCCCCAGAGGTTTTTGTCTTCCTGTCACCTTCAGATAAATACAATGACGTTTCTGGGTTATGTCACATCAAATTTTAATACCTGTTTCTGCTACCTCCACGTCCTGATAGTAAAACATGAGGTGACGGAGACCTCCAACAGCAAAAAGTTGATCAACTCTTTCAATCTGGGGGAAAGAAAAGGCAAGGTCACGACTTTGTTCCAAATAAGAAACTGCATTTAAATCAGAAYTGATGGCATAAAAGAGCAAAATTTGTAACACCTTTCTTATTCAAATCGAACTGTATCCAGGGCAGTCCATGTAGRAGGGATATTCCTTCCAACACAAAAACTACAAAACAATACACCCCTTATCATAGAAAAAAAAAAAAGTCACTTCAAAGAAGTAACTTAATTAGTCATGGAAATAGTTGCTGTGAATGCACATCTGACCAGGGCTTGTCCCTCTGTTTTTGCTCATTTCCTAAAGTGTGGAGCCATTGAAGGTGGATATGAATACAGATGAGTATTTCATTTTCAGTCAGTTGTAAGRAAGAGACAACAAACCTTTCCAAAGYCAGCTACCAGACTAGAGCTAATCAAGGTTGACCGGGGACTGCAGGGGGAAGAGTGACTAGGGACCACCCCTGCAGCAGCAGCCTGGCTTTAATCTCATCCACCAGGCTGGCTGTATGTCTGGTTGACACCTGGCCTGCCACCAATAGAAGCACTTCTTATAAAGAGTCCACAGCCCAGTTTAGAACTTATATGAGAAGAAAAAGGACAAAGTCTGCACRTCTATTGAGATGGCCACTATCAAAAAATTCCAAGTGTCRGCAAGGATGTAGAGAAATCAGAACTCTCTTGCACTATTGATGGGAATGTGAAATGCTGAGACCACTGTGGAAAACAAGGTGGCACTCGCCTGTAATCCCAGCAGTCTGGAAGCTGAGACAGGAGGATTGTGAGTTTAAAGCCAGTCTCAGCAAAAGCAAGGCACTAAGCAACTGAGTAAGACCAAGTCTCTAAGTTAAATGCAAAATAGTGGTGGGGGGGTGGATGTGGCTCAGTGGTCAAGTGCTCCTGAGTTCAATCCCCRGTGCTCCCCACCTTGAAAAATAAAAAAGGTAAACATGGAATCACCACATGACCCAGCAATTCCAACTCTGGATTTATATCCAGAGAATCAAAAGCAGGACCTCAAAGACATTTGTACACGGGTGTTCAGAGCAACTTGACTCACAATAGCTTCCACAAAAGGTCAAAGCYGCAGATGAAAGGGGAAACCAAAGGTGGCATGTGTTTACAAGGGAATATTCCTCAGCCCTAACAAGTAGGGAAATGCTGGCCCCTGCCAGGACATGGCTGAATGGTGAGACATCACGCTAAGTGAAATAAACAATCACAAAAGGACAAGCACTGTGCAATTCTACCATATGAGACACCTAGAGTAGTGACATGTGTAGATGGGAGTAAAATGGTGATTGCCAGGGACTGGAGATAAGGAAGAATGGGAAGCGATTGTTTACTGGGCATAGAGTGTTCTGCTTYGTAAGATAAATGTTCTGAAGATTGGTTGCACAACACTGTGACTATACTTCATGGTGCCCACTTAAGATAGGCAAGAMGGTAAATTGCATGTGTATTTTACCATAAAGTAATATTTTTAAAGGACAAAATATAGCCTGGATTTTAAGTATGGAAATAAGTTCCCTTCAGTTTCTATCATGCTACAGATAAAATGGTAGCAATGAGGAAAAGTAAGTTGCCTTGTTTTGTCATTGCTWTTGTAACATTTCCTAGACTGAGGATGTTGTAGGAATGAGCAGCACAGACTCCTTGGGACCCATTCCAAGCCAGGAACATAGTGAAGGCAATGCTTCCAACATAGCCAGGTCAACACTCCTGCACTTAACCTTCCCTTCCTGTCCTCCTTCCCTCCCTTCTGTCTGTCTGTCTGTCGGTCTTCCTGTCTCTTTCTATGTCTGATTAGTTTTGTTTTATAGTTCAGGAATCATAGGATGATTGTGTGCCTTCCTTACTTCCTAGGGKACTCTGTCTTGCCATACTTCTGGACTTCCCCATCAAGGTCAAGTTACTGAGCAAATCCCACCCCAGGTTTGAAGGAAACTTGTAGCGGAAAATGGAAGCCAAGGTTAAAAATCTAAAACAAAAAACAAAAACTTTAGCTGCCAAACCAAAGCCCAAATCAGGAAACCATGGCACAATTCAGTTGTGCCACTATAAATGCACAATAAATAACAACAACCAAAAAAAAGTCCCAACCGGGAGCAGTGGGGAGATTTGGCTCCCTAACCTTGGGTTCCAAAAGGGCACCAGAGCCCAACTTCACTGGATGTAGAGACACACGGGCATTGCTGTCAGATGGTGGAACTCAGATGATCACCATGAGTACCCCTACACAGTAGAGAGCCAGAGACCCCTACTCCTGCTGCCACTACCAGGAGAGAGTCAGAGTGGAGCCCTGCTACATCAAAACAGGCACTGCCCTCCAAGGTACACCTTGGGATCCCACCATAGGACAGTGCCACACACCCTCTGTGTCCTCCACATCCAAGTCAGTAAGAACTCAAACACACTGCACCTGATTGCCCTCAAGAATGGCATCTTCCACTTCGCATTTGTTCAGGTCCAAGCAGGAAGCTACGATTGCAAATAAGTGATCGTGTCTCCCATCCAAACGAGCCCGCTTGGCTTCTTTCTCTTCCTTCAGTCTTTGCTGAAAGAAAGGAAGAGAAATGTTATATTGCAACTGCTGTTCTCAAATGGATTCATTTTGTGATAATTTCATACAATTGCTGTKTTTTCAAGTCTTAGGGATTCAGATAATAGACAACTTAATGATACCAGTTTTTATGTACTAGCTTCTGTTTTTAGAAATAACATTACTTCTCGTCAGAAAATAAGGTGTGCTCATTGTTTTGAAATCGCATAATATAGATAAGTAAAAAGAAGAAATAGAAATTGTCTGCCATCCAGAAATTATTACTGTTAACATTTTGTTCTAAATCTTTACAGACTTATTTCCATGCACATATGAGCATTTAATAAATACACAAAAGAGAGATCCCCATTTTTGTAAACACTTTTCCCAGCCATTAAAATAATAAGCTTCTGCATTATCTTCTATCTTTATTGTCTGTTCACAGGTTCGTATTTGGTGTTCAAATTAATTTCTGAACACCACTTCCTTTTTTTGACCATTAATTGTTAGTTACAATAAGAAAGCATGTTTGCTATAGCCAACACTGGCAGATCCAAGTCCTCCTTTCCATACTCTTTGCTCAAACAAATATATGCCAACATAGGCATGCACCAATTTTTATCCTGTACCATAATATTTTCTCATGTATTTCTCATGTATTCTCCCTTAAGAATGCATCAGACTTCTTTCTTGTTTAAYACAGACTATTCCAATCTGTATAACAGCTGCAAAATATTCATTATGAATGTATTGGTGGACATTTGACTTCTAATCCATTTCTGAGAATAAGGATATACTATCAGTTCCAGACAATAGGTTCTACTGGGGAGAAGAAAGGTGGCCCCTCTTGAGTCCTTCTTTTAACCAATGAATATATTTTATTAAGCCCCAAATACAATACATGCCAGCACTGTAAAGGTAAATGTTACCTTTAAATTCAAAAAAGCTCACTGCCTGATTGGCAGGATATGAGGAGAAAATGTAAATAACCACAGGGTGGCGTAATGTTTATTGTGGGGCATCAGATTTGGGGGCCCCCAAATGCAGAAGATATTTATGGATTCTTATAGAAGGAACAAAAAAAAATGATCTCCCACTCTAGGATTGAGGAGGTTGGAGGTAGGAAGAACAGGAAAGCTTTCAGGAGAAGTGGGTCAGACCCAGAGTTGGAGGAAGATTGAATCCCTCCTAGGATAGGGCATTTCTGCACATTCAGAAGCAAGAGGCACAAGAAAGCACAGTACATTCTGGAAACCATGAGGTAGCCTCACTGACTCAAATGAAAAAGGATTAGGAAAACACAATGGGAAATGAGAAAGAAGTCAAATCATCAAATATTTTGTGGGCCACATTAGAAAGCTAAAACATTATTGGAAGTCTATAGAGAATCACTGATTCTGTTTGAAGTCAGGAGAGATTGATATTTAGCTCTCAATGCAGCACTGAAAACTCCATCATCCTGACAGCAGCGTGGAAAGTGGATTGGAGGCATGCACGCCCAGAGGTAGTCAGGTGGTTCTCACAGCATTTCCCAATTTCTGGGAACACATCTGGAGGAGCAGCTTATAGCAACATGACCACTAGTTGAGTTTTGGCTGTGTTGGATTCAGAGGTATACTGATGCACAGGCAGAAGAGGCAGAAAGACCTCTGGAAATGTGGATCTGAAGTTCAAGGGGAAATTCATCACAGACACAGATACAAATGCAAAGTCTCAATCAAGCTCAATCAAGGTGTGGACCAGAGGATTCTTGCTATGCACTACTGGTTGTTCAACAGCATGCTGGGTCTCTACCTTAGAGCTGCCAGTGGTTTCTACCATCAAGGTGTGAAAACCAAAAAAAAAATGTCTCCTGACATTGCCAAGTGTCCCCTGTGGAACAAAAATCACCCCTCACTTTGAAACACAAATGTTACGTAGTCATAGACACACATAGTTATGGACATTTGTTGGTTTAAAGACTATAATATGAATCTTACTTTGGGGGGTTTACAGAACAGCACCTGCAAAACTGTGAGCAGCAGGTGATTATAGGCTTACTAATTATTCACTAAATGATTGTCAAATAAATAAATAAATAAATAAAAGCTAAAACCATGAGTGCAGATATGATTTTCTAAAAAAGATATGGAGATAAAAAAGCTAAAAAGTGAAGAACCATAAGGAACACAAGGGAAAGAAATGCAAACAGATGAGGCTGAGTGTKCAGAGACAGAAAAGCCCAGGAGACAGCAGCACCCCTCAGCCATAGAGCAGGGCCAATATGATGGAGCATGGCTAATAGCACTAATGCTACAGAGGATTGGCTGGGTTGCTGAGGATATCTGTAGCATCTGTGCACACAAGATGGCTATGACATCCCACAGCTATTTTGTAATGCAATCCTAACATTGACCTATCGAGAGATAGACTCATCTCCTGTTCCCTAGAATTTGGCAGGCCTTGTTACCAGTTCTGACCAAGATAATCAGGAAAAAAGCAGGTAGCACCACTCCCTTGGCTTGTCCTTAAGGCATCTTCAGATTTTGCCTTTGCACTTGGAGTGTTCCCCAAACACCATGTTGAACAAATCCAGGTCACCTGGGGAGACGACGTGGATGAGAACCAAGGCCATCCAGTCAACAGCCCCCACTGCCCTCCTCACCAACATGCACCAACTCACCGCCATGGGACTGAGCCATCCTGGCTGTCCCAACCTCATTGAGCCTACAGATGATGCCACCCAGCCAATGCCAAGAGCAATGGAGCCACCCTGTCCCCCACAGAGTCATGAGAGATGAGGGGTGGCTGTCACTGCTTCCTGCCCTTAGGTTTTGGCATGGTTTGCTGTGCAGCAACAGGTAATGATAAACTTGATAGAGAATTTTCACTGGTTGGACAGAAAGCCAACGGATCTAGACTTGAGAAAAGTAGGCCTGACTAGAGACAACTCTTTCCAAAAGTTTGACTATAAAGGAAAAGGGCACAGTTAAAAGGGAATGTAGAGTTAGGGGGGAAAATTTAGGATACAAAAGAGTTATGGGGAAGTCGAGGACCTTCGGAGTGAATGAAAGATCATTGCTATTCCTGTGCCATTTACACTCATTTCTCTGAACATGAAGGACTGCCCGAGTGACAACTTAGTTGAGGAAGAGGATGGGGCTTGTGGTTAAAAATAATAATAATCATCTACCAATTTTTTTGTATTTTTCTACAAAGGTTGTGACACAAAGTATACATTTCATAAATGTCAAATAGTAGAAAATGTAAATGTATTTTCAAATGTCACTAAAACCAGGAAGATGCCCTGTTGTTTTGAACTGTTTTCTGCCTTGCTGGCAGAGGGAAATAAAGTTTTCCTCAAGGAGATCTCTCTAGGATTGTAATAACTGTCTTTAACAGCATGGAGACACAGGGATCAAGCAGCAACCACACAAAGAGATGGCAAATGCTAAATAGCTAAAAAAAAAAAAAATTCTTTTTTAAAGCAGAAAGCCAGAAGACCCAAGATGTAAAGCAAATGAAGATTTCCAAAGAAGATGGACACTTAAACAAGATTCTCCCATGGCAACATGTCACACCAGGATCCGATTTTATAAGAACCCAGAAGAAGAAAAAAAGGATTGGAATGGAGAAAAAGACAGACCTGTCCCTAAAACAGAACACTGATTGCTCTATTTTTACCTAAATGTCATAGTGGGAAAAAATTCCAAAGCAGTTTTATGTATACAAAGAAAATGATCAGCATGTTTTTAAAGTAAATGTTTTCAAAAGCTATTTTCAAAAGCATGTTGGTTGAATGTGTTCTTACTTAAACGGATTGTTCTGCCTCCCAAAGACATGTGACATGGAGTCAACCCTGGAGCCATAGAAATGAAAGACCACAACATTTACCAGTCTCAACTTTCATGCCCGACACTAAGGTATCCTAGCACAAGAAGACTTTTTTTGTTTTTCACTACCACAAAATGTCAATCATAGCAAACGAATATTTAGTAATGAGATCAACACACTATCAATCTATGAACTTAACCCTGTAGTCGCATGCAGTCCAGTGACCAGCTGTCTGAAGCTGGCTTGTCCTGCTGGCCTGTAGAATGTCTAGGACACTTGCAGAGTGAAGGTGGAAGGGGATTAAGAAAGCAGGAGGTAAAGTGTATAATGACTTTTTTTAAGTGACCTATTAAAGTCATTGCGCACTACATGAGCACATAAACTTAGGGGTTAGGGAGGATGGTCAGAAATCTATCCAGTGTCCAGGGAAGTCTAGAACAGTATTGAAACATGTCTGTAATTTGTGACAAGGTGTGCCCCTAATGACTTGGAATGGAAGAGTGGCTGATGTCGTTGTTAATAAGGAGTGAGCATAGCTTCCCAGCTATGGCAGTGACCACACACACACACACACACACACACACAAGAAGCCAATGTCAAGTGGAGTCATTGTTTCTCGTCCTAGCTTAGCCACTAATTGTGAGTTTGCAACTGATATTTAGCTGATCTTGCTGAAGTTGCCTCAACTCCAAGATCAAAAGATCACTGGGTGACCGCGAAAAGAGCTTCTCTGACATGTGAGCTACTTCTCAGTGGTCCAAAAGTTAATGCAAATTACAGTCTTGAGATTTTAAAATAATGAATCCCAGAGATGAGCCCAGGACTCTCTGCTTTCAGAAGTTCTGTGACTTTTTCTCAAAACCAATCTACCAATTCAATATTTTAAAAATCCTAATCTTTAATCCTACATAATCAAAGTCCAAGTTTGCATGTTTTTATACACAAACTGTGCATGAACTACACATATGCTCAATCTTTAATTTAGGCTTCACTTTAGGTTGATAATCCCCAACTATTCAGGAGACCTTACAAGAATGGAGATAAAAACCCTCACCAGAAAGATATTCATAAAGATTAAATTGCACACAGACTGGAGATAATACTAAATCAATCAATTTATGGATCAAAATGGCATGGCCAAGGATTTGGCCCTGGACATCAAAATTTAGCGAAACACACTTTTGAATAATGATATT